CTCATTTCCTACAACACACGACGTTTCCAGCTTTGTCACTTTGGCGGTTGCAGAGGGCTAAGGGATGAGTAAGGGGAGGGGTAGTGGGGTAAAAACTTTGGCGTGTGCCTTGGGGTGAGGGGTGTCAGTGTAGCAAGTTGCTCTGCCAAGCTCCCGTTCTTAATTTTCTGTTGCTTGCACATTTTGGCATTGTGTGTTAAGTTCTTAAGCGCTGCCAAAAACTTGAGCCTTCCGCCGAGGCGGCAACCCTAAGGCGGCAACCCCAAAAATGCAGCCGCCTCCCCTATGAGTTGCACACCCCCTTCTCCTTTTGCGGGGAGTCACACACATAAAATAGTTAAAATGTGACAGTTGTTGAAAATGTTGGGGAAAAGACTGCAAAGTTACTCTTTATTTCTTGCGTTTTTTTATTTCTTTAAAAATTCTAACAAATAAAATATTTTTTACCTGCTCTTGGTTACATGATATGTTAATATTATATGGATTATTTTTTACATTTATTTAAGAAGCAATACGTTGCCGAAAGCCCATAGCTAGTACTGCTTTCCTTATTATTTATTTTTATTTATTTTAATCATAATACTTATGCTTAGTACTAAAAATAAATACTTTTTTTTAATTATTTATGGAATATTAATATTGAAGCCCTTTTTTACTCAATTTTTTTTGACTATATGATACCCAATACTTCTTTAATCTTCTTTCGCTTTAATCTTTTATCATAAAATAGATATGCTCTAGACCCTTTATTTATTTTAAAATAAACCTACCATAAGGTCAAATGAAAAGGTCTTTCTTAATCAAATTAAAACAACTCCTCACAAGAATACAATTTAATCTCTTAACTTTATTTGTTTTCGCTCTAAATAAATAGTTTATTATAAACACAAAAACAAATAAAAGGAAATCCCAGTTGAAGAAACAAAACTGCCAATGCATTGGCCTTTTATTTACTTTCAATTAGAAACTCTGATGAAATAAAGCCACCAATTCCAGGGTATGTCCTTACCAACAAGGTGAGAGGTGAATGGTTTTTTGGGGTTATTTTTTTTTTGGGTGGTGCAGTGGCTCTACTTTATTACAGGTCCGAAGGAACAGGAGGACATCTCATTCTTGTCTTTTTTTTATTTTTTGCCTGTTTGCATAATTTTCCAAAGAAGAGAAGCAACAAATAAGGGGAGGTGGAGGGGTGGTGGATAGTGTTAAGAAAGTCTGGCTTATATAGGAGGAAGATGGAGGGGGAAGGAGTAAAGTATTATATTGAACCATCTATCCGGCAGACACAATTCCGGCACAAGGGTTCACTTTCGGAAGAAGTTAGAGGATCCGGGCGACCAAAGTTGAAAGGCAAAAAGGCAGGAAATAGTGACGCAGAGGGAGTGATAAAGGGGGCAGAGGGTAGCCTAGTGAAAGGTTACACACAATGGACTCCCTTATGTCTTCAAAAATTACATTTTAAGTTCTGAAATTACAATACAAAATTGAAATATCTTATTTCAGTGTTGCAGTTGGAAGTAATTTTTCATGCGTATAAAAATGAAGGTACAGAGGGGTTACAGGGGGGGTGTTGAATGGGGGCTACAGTGAAGCCACATCATGGATGAAAAGTGGTGTGAGTATTGTGGCAAGAACTGGAAAAGAGACAGTGGCAGCTAACGAGCCGCATGGCAGACAAAACTTTACAAAATTTATCAACGAGTGTGTGTCTGTGTGTGTGTGTGTGTATCTTTCTTGGTGAGTATCTGGCAGTATGTGTATCTGTATCTTTTGCATTTATGAAAATGTAATAATAACAAAAGACGCAATGCAGACGCGGCAAAAGTAAACTGAAAACAAAACGCCAACCCAACAACAAGCTTCCAAAGAACAAGAAGAAACTCAACCGAAAGGAAACATATGTGTATGTTTCACTATGTCTGTGTGTGTGCGTGGCAACCCTAGACAACCCTAGACAAACATATGGCTCACTGAATGCACAATGTATCTGCATCCGCATCCGCATCTGCATCTGCAACTGCCAGTGTAGCTCGGTAGCTGTTGTTGTTGTATCTGTGAGTCTGGCAGTCAGGCAGGCAGACAGCGAAGGAAACTTTTTCGGGCCAACCATATTTGCAACTTAAAAAATTTGTCAAAACAAATTATCATAAAATGCTCATCATCCAGTTGAATATCAAATTTTTTAGCGAAAATTTGCAAAAGTAATTCCAAGAGGTTTACAAAGATAAAAATATGTGTACATATAACTGGAAAGTCTTTTGAGAAAGTATGGTTTTGAAGGAAGAAAATTTTGAGAACTTTACTATTTGAAGCTTGGAAAAATATTAAAGGGCTTAAAGAATTAGAGATATATAACAACTGTTAAATATTTATTTAATTAATATTAAGTTAATAGGAGAAATAAATAATATATGTTTTTATGGAGTATTTTATAGGTATTTATGTGTCTGTTTTTTTTTTTTAATAAATATTGATCTTGATTGATCTTTTATAAGTTTTTTATGAAGCATATTTTAGCTACATTTAATAGCATTTTTTTAAGTTAATTTTATATAATAATTTATAGTATATTTCAAAGTATTCTAATATTTCAAACAGTATATTTTATTGTATGTTTTATACTCCATTTTTTAGCCTATAACTATCTTAAAGTATATTTTTTACGTATACTATAGTATTTTTTTTATAAAAGTTTTGATTTATTTTATTCAAAGCTCTCCTAAAACCTTAAACCCTCAAACCTTAACTTTTAAATTTAAAACCTTACAACCCTATTATCCCACTTGCCAGCTACCCCTATTAGAAAACCCCTCCAAACACTTAACCCCCAACACATTTGTAAGATCTCCCTCTAAAGTCAAGAGTCTAAACTGAATATTCACTTGGCGAAATTCCTGTACTTTATGGCATCAGAATCGGAATGTAATTAAGAACTTGCCCTGGAAAAGCCAACCGAAATCAAATAAACTAGTTTAAGAAGTTTTTGTTCACCTACTCTACTCTATACACACATATATGTATATATATATAGAGCCTTGCTTCCAGCTCCTCTTAAGCAAATGAAACTCCAATTAGCAGCACAAATCAAAGTCAGACAGTTTCGTTTTTGGAGGACAAGTGGCATCAAAAAAGAAAATTTTTACCAGAAGAGCAGAAAAGTTAAAGCCGCGTGTCCAGAAAAGTTGTGGGCATTAAATTGATAAAAAAAAAAAAAAACCAAATTTGTAACTAGCAAGGGCAGAGTATAGGGGGTGGTGTAATGGTTGAGAGTTTGCTGCGATATTTTGCCTTTGATAGAAAAACAATTTTTCTACTCCATTTCACGCGTTCAAGGCAGGAACCATAAAAGCTGACCAGTGAAAGAGTCGGCAAGTGAGGGGGAAAATCACTTAGAAAGAGACAGAAAATACAAGAGTCATACAGAGAGGGGGGTGAGAGGTGAGGAGGTACATAGGTCCAATCGAACATCCAACAGAATCGTCAGCGTAAAGATGCCGCCAGACCGATAAACGCTAGAAATGAAATAACAATAAAAACCAATTTTTTATATCGAACTGAAGTTGATATACCTATCTCTCTTTCACTATCATATACCTCACTCTTTCTCACTTTTGGCGAAAGTTTCTACTACGCGTGTTTATTTTTTTTGTAGTTCCTAGCCCCCCCATTGACCCAATTTTGTTTATTTTTTGTTGGCCTTGTTTATCGTTTACCCTTCAATAGCTACTATTTCTTTTGCAGTGTATACTAAATGTACTTAAAAAATAAAAAGAAGGAATCAAATTTGTAAACAAAACACCTAATCATTAGCCCGACAATGATTTGGATTTTTCAAGACATTTATTTTGTTTGTTTAGAAACTCAATTAATTCACAAAGGGAACCATCTGGCTATCCGAAAGATACAACATCTACAAGTTCATTAGTTCGAACCTGATTTTTGCCTAATTTTATGCCACACGGGTGGTTTTTTTTTTGTTTAAAGAATAAATAAAAAAATTCTCTACTCTTCCCTCCAAAAAGAAAAAAAACATCTAAAAACTTTGGTCAATAAAGAGAATCAAGCCAAGACTGGTTTCCCATTTTTGTTTGTCTGTTTGCTGACCAAATGTGGATGCTGTTTATATTTTTTTTTATTTATTTTTTTACTATTTCTTCTCTTTAAGGCGGGAGGCACATGCCTCCCATTTGATTTCCGACTGACCTACAGCCCGTGCATTGACGTCGAACGTTTTGAACTTCAAAAACTTGACCCTGAACGGAGTCATAAAGATCCACCACAAAATCTACGGAAATCAGAAATCTTTAGCTTCCAAGATGATTCCAAATAATGTCCACTCGAGACTCGAGTTAAGGTCGTATGGCGGGAGTTACCCAGAATTATTAGCATCAATTAGGGGACTTTTGTTGGAGGAATAGTAGTACAAAAAATATAGACAAAGTCATTGTATTAATAAAGACAAACAATAAAATATATGTATTGGATTAGTTAGTCATGGTGGGATTTTAATTCTATTTAAAAAATTATACTCACACTTATAATTTCCAAAAAAGTCTATTATAATATTAATGCCTAACTCCTTCCAAAAATGAAAATCGAAATTAATTTAAACTTTTCAAGTTTCTTATCTGGCTTTCTCTTCTTAAATCTTTCGAAATTGAAATTCAAATTCGAGTTTATTTTTCAAAGCCTTTCTCTCCGTGCTAAAAATCCCCGAAAGAAACAAAGCCCTAACCTCTAAAAAACCGAAACAAAAGTAAAAGAAATTTTATATATTAGCTATTCAAACTTGTGATTGGAACAGGAAAGAAAATCAACAAAAAAACACCATCATCGATAAGTGATCCACCAAATGGTCATTTTTTTTCTGTCTATTCCAAACGAGTTAAACGAGAATTTTTTTTCGACTCTGTCGATATCGAACAATAGGCATATTGACGGCTGGACGTCAAGTCGGGCGTTAATTATTGATTAGTTTAAAGCCCGATTACCAAACCGGCAGCGGGTTTAGAACGCCACGGAACGTCCGACGCCGAACAACTTTGTTACCGCTCTCCCAGAACGCGAATAAAATCCCCAAAAAAAACATATACTCACATCAAGAGAGGTACACGGAGAAAAAGAGTTATAGTCTAGACTCTAGAGTGTTTCTATATGAAAAATGTGTTTGTTTTTTTATGGTGTCTAAGATATAATTAAAGGATGGAAGAAAAAGCTATTAATGGTGTTAGATGATTAAGAAAACTAAGTAGGTTTTGAATACTACTAGTTCAGTGAATGGCTTAAAATAATTGAAATAAATTAAATAAATGTTTATAAAAGGAATTTATGACATATTAGATAATTATTTTTTAATTCTTATTGAAAACTTTGAAAAGGAAATATTAAAATAAGAAAAAAGAATATAATCATAAAAGCTTAATAAGAAGAACATATCTGATTCTTTATTCCTTTTCTAAATTCTTTTCTATATTCTAAATTCTTTATATGCTAGATTCTTTATCTAAATTTATATTTATAAAATAAAACTATTTTATGAATTACTGTTTTTTTTTTGTCAAATTTAATTTAATTTAGAAGCAATACAATTTAAAGTAAATATCAAATAAAAAAAACGTGTCCATTTAACTTCCTGCGTAATTTATATTTTATTTAAAAGAAAAAAATGCTTTGGAAAGTATCTTCTTAAAATTCAAAATTACATTCAAATATTTTTACATAGTTAATACTTAGCTTTTTAAATTTTTTAAATTTCATTCATTTTAAAACCCTAAAAAAGAAGTTTGAAAAGTATAATGCATTCTACCTTATGTTTTTTTTTTTTATAATATTCTTTTTTGTGTTAAAAAAATCTGTTTTTGTTAAAATAAATAATTTTTTTTTAATTTGTGTTTTACAAAATAAATAAAACCTTAAGCTTTTAGCGACAAATAAAAGAAAAAATAGCAAATAATTTCTTTTGAAACTAAATCTTCAAAACCAAGCCCTACCGAGTGAGAAAATCCTAGAAATCACCAACTATTTTTTTTTTTCTGTGTAACATGATAGAGAAGAACTGGAGGAACAACAACCGCAGCAGCAGCAGCAGCAACACCAGCACCAGCAGCAGCAGCAGCAGCAGAAGCAGCAACAACGACACCGCAAAAATACACGACCGGAGAGACAATAAAAGTCGGCCAGCGGCCAAAAACGCGCTCATTGCGTGCGCTGTTTTCGCAACGGCAACGGAAAATTAGCCCCGGAGAAAGAAAGAGAAAGGGAATAAAAAGAGAGTGAGAGAGAGATAGATAGGTAGTAGACTGTACGGCAACAGAATACGGATTGCGGAATATACACGGAAGAGGAGTCAGGATGCGACACGCATTTGTTGGATTAATTGTGTGCTGGCTGGCAGTTTGTCAACCGCAAGGTAAATATTTTTGGAATACGGCCCATATAGACGGTATAATGACAGGATACAGGCTGTACGTTGTACAGCCTACGCCTTCGACACCGCCCCCGCTTCCAAAACCACTCACTCCCCCCATTCCCCAACCCATTCTGATACACGCACAACACATTGACATGCTCGGGGCTTTGTTATTACAGCAATAATTGCAAAATTATCGCTGGATTTTGCGCCTACGTGCGATGCATTGTCAACTCTGGAACAAAAAACAACAAAAACATCCCAAAAAGTGTTCAGTGTATGAGAGAGTGAGTGAGATAGAAAGCAGGCAGAGTGAAATGGGGCTACAAAAGGCTTTTTTGAAAAAATACAATATAAGGATATTCATATTTTAAATTAATTTTTTTATAATGATTCTTCTTTTTCAATTCCTTTAAAAAAAATTAATTTAAATACCTGTTCTTATAAGAACCTGTTGGATATCTAATTAATCTAAAAACTCCTCCCAAAACCCACTCTATAGCCCATCTCACAGTTCTGAAGCTGAAAACCAGCCTCTTTTTTTTATCTCTTTCTTTTTTGTGTGTTTTTGTGCTTAAAAAAATGTGTTAAAAAAGAATAACAAATAAACTCGAAATATAATACAAATACGATAAACAACGCGTGTGAAACAAGTTTTGTTTAAAGGCTATAATCTATTCTATTCTTTTTTTCTTTTTTTTTTTTTATTAATTTTTGCTGCTAAAGCCACAAAACTTTCCGCTTATTTGAGTTTTTATACTAAAATGCTAAGAAGTTGGAAAAAAAAATTAGATACAAAAAAAATAAATTTCAAAAGAAAAAAAATAAAAAAAGAACTAACGAAATTAAAATTTATTTAAGGTTTAAAGTATGAATATTGCAAGAAAAGAAAGTACTTCAAAATATCACTCATACGCAATGTCTGACGCAGTTCTGGTTAAGAATAAGCTATGGCTTTTTGTCATTTCTTCAAAATGATCACAAAATTACCACAATTTGTATAATACTATAATTTTATTTAATTTTTGTGTTCAATTTTCTTTAAAAACAATTATTTTACTTAAGAACCACATGGCGTATACGTAATATAATGATGAAATTATCCTACATCTAATTTTTATTAATTTTTTCCTAAATATTATTATTTTAATAATTTTATTGATAAATTTCAGCTGAGGCGCAGTTTGGAGGCTTCGGATTCCAGCCGCAGTTCCAGCAGCCCTTCCAGCAGCCCTTCCAGCAACAGGTATACTACCGACCCCAAACCCAATACCAGCCAGCGGTGGCTTATCGCCAGCAGCAACCTGTGGCGTATCAGCAACCACTGGCTTACCAGCAACCTATAGCTTACCAGCAACCCATAGCTTATCAGCAACCCGTGGTTTACCAACAGCAACCCCAGCGTCGCCAGGGATCCGTCTCCAAGGCCAACACGAATGCCTACGAACGGCAGGTGGACTTTGGCAACAACCTGGAGTACACCCAGGGTCTATCCAACTCCCGGGCGGTGACCAAACAGAACGGCAATCGTGTGGTGACCAACAGTCAGGCCCAGACCCGTGACGTTGATCTTGGTGGCCTCCAGTTGGGCAACACCCTCACCCGCACTAGGACGAATGCCAACGGAGCTGTTTCTCAGGGTATCGCCGATCAGTTTAGGATCGGAAATGTTGGCCTGGGCGCTTCTCTGTCGCCCCAGAATCTGCAGAACGGCTTTGGTCTGCAGCGCGGTGCCGATGGCGATCTGCGACTGGGTCTCGGTTTCCTCAACCTCGACCTGGACAGGAATGTCCAGAACTCGAACACCCTGTCGCAGGCCCAGGTGAATGCCCAGGGCAAGGGTGCCAAGGCGGGATCCTCAAGCAACAGCCAGTCGAACACCCAGCAATACGGCGGAGTCACCGTCACGGACACGCGCTCCAACTCGAATGCCTTCGGCAAGGCACGCCGCGGCCAGACCTCGGCCAGCACCGGCGGCTTCGGCGGCACTGCAGCCACCAATGGCCAGAGCTTCGGGGGACCCTTCCAGCGGGTGGTGCGTCAGCAGCCGGTGGCTCGCAGGCGACCCAAGCGGCGGGCACAGTTCGTGCCGTTCGGCTATCCGGGCAGGCCCTTCGCCCCTGGACCCTTCGCCCCCCGACCCCTAGAATGGGACAGACCTCGCCGGCAGTTCGGCGGTTTCGGAGGCTTCGGAGGAGGACCTGGATTTGGTGGTAAGTTTTTAATACTAAATTAAAGAGAACTATTTGGAATTATTTAGTATTTTCTTAGTATATTTTTATTGTAGTATTTTGTAGTATTATTGTAGTAATTTTTAGGAACATAGGCCCCTCTCATATTATCTTGAGAGAACATTTAAAACTTAAAAAATATATAAAAATAGAAATAATAATAAAATAAATAATAATTTATAATATTGATTCAGACTTACCCAAGAATAATATTGACGTTTGAGCCTTGTTGAGAAAAACAAAATTGTCCTTTTCAAAGAAGAATCTTTTTATACTTTATTATTTAACTTCTTACTTTTTCGTAAACAAAAATTCCGACAGAGGGCTATAATAGAAGCCTTGAATTCTTTATTTTAACACATTTAATACATGAATAAAATAATAACAATTTTACACCGAACTAAAGTAAAAACAAAAAACAGACGGAAGGCTATCCAGGGTGCCTTGTCTTATTTCTGTTTTTATTTTTTCTTACATTTTTTTTCACATTAAACCAAAAAAAATTAAAAAAATAAATAGACTGTAGGCTATCCAGGGTGCCTTGTCTTGACATATAATTTTTTTTTATTTTTCTTATTTTATTCATAAATACAAAAAAAAAATAAGGTAAAAAGAACTCCGACTGCAGGCTATCCAGGGCGCCTTGTCTTAATTCTTATATACCTTTATTTTTATTTTATTTTTTATTTTGACGGAAGGCTATCCACAGTGCCTTTTTTTATTTATTTATTTATATTGAATTATTACGGTTACCGATGTACCCCCACTACCTATTTTATTTTATTTTATTTGGTATGTAACTATTCATTTTAATTTTAATTTCTATCCATCTTTCTCATATCCTACCCTTTTATTTCCCAATTCCTCCCCACTTTTTCCCCCTTTTTCCACCCCATTTTCACCCCTGCCTCCCCCAGTTTCCCCCTAAAACTTTCTTCCTGATCTTTTATCTTTGTATTCTAATTTTTTTCTTCCATAACATCGATTTCCGTTTCATGCACTGAAAAAGAAGAAAATAAATTTCAATTAGGTTATATTAGTTTTTCAATATCTATAGAATTTTAAAAACATTTTTTAAAAAATATTAAAAGCCCTATAAAAAGCATAGATAACAAATTAGAGTCGAAATTTGTAAGACACTATGATATCCGGTACTATTAAAAATCCTCGTTTGCCGAATAAATCTTTAGAAATGCTACTTTGATATTTAAAATGCTTTAAGGATTTTTTATTAGTACCGGGTATTAAAATAAATATTATTTGTAAAAACAATTTAAAAAACAATAATAATTATAGAAGCAATGGCTGATATTTTCTCTGAAAAGTAAAAAAATAATTTTAATTTTAAGATTAGCGTTAAGTAGATTTTTTTTTTTAATTATACAATAATTTTTCGAACAATACCTTATATTTTAAAATTGTTAAAAAAATTTTTAAAAATATTAAAATGACATTATTTTTTAGGACCGGGATTCGGTGAACCTGAGTACGGCCCTGAAAACCCCGAATACTTCGGAGGTGGCCCAGGCTTCGAGAACTTCCAGCAACAGCAGCCGGGCCGGAAGAAGGGCCACAAGAACCAGCAGCAGGCCCATGGTAATGCCCATGCCCAGGGTGGACCCGGATTCAACCAGCAGGCCTCGACCAATAACCATGCCGGCAACGGCGACACCGGCAGCAGCAGCATCAGCTCGAACCTGGCCCAAGACGGTACCAGCGGACAGGTGAGCTCGGCGAACACGAACACCCACCAGGGCCAGACGGCCAACGGTGGCTACGAGAGCAACCAGAACTCCCAGAGCCAGGCTCTGAACTTCAAGCCCGGCCAGCAGCAGGCCTCCAGCGCCAATGCCAATACCCAGCACACCCAGCAGGGCAACACGGACACCTACTCCTCGAACAGTGGCTCCACCTCGACGAACAATAACCAGTTCGGATCATCGACCAACACGGCCAATACCAACTCGCAGGTGGTCAGGGACGGAAACCGTCAGGACGCCACCAGTGATGCCAACAGCCAGAGCATCTACCAGGGCAACAACGGCCAGGGCGATGCCACGGCCCAAACGAACGCCCAGACGAGCTCCCAGCAGGGACCCGGCGGTTTCGTGACGAACTCCGCCTCCAGCAGCGCCACAGCCACCGCCCAAAATGGTCAGTCCGCCAACGCCAATGCTGATGCCAATGCTGGCGGCGGCGGCTTCGGCCAATTCGGTGGCCAGGGCGGTGCCGGCGCCAGTGCCAATGGCGGTGGCTTTGGAGGCTTCGGTGGCGGCGGTAATGCCAATGCCAACAGTGGTGCGGGCGGTGCGGGCGCCAATGCCGGCGCTAATGGGGGTGGTTTTGGAGGCTTCGGCGGCGGCGGTAACGCGAATGCCAACAGTAATGCCGGTGGCTTCGGCAACTACGGCGGCTTTGGATTCTTCGGACGTTAGTAGTCACGAGGTCACTCCACCCACACCACCACCGTCAGTCACACACCTTACCACCTACTCAAAAATTTTTTTTATGTCACCCACTTGAGCACAAGAATAAAAGGCATTTTGTTAATTTAAAAAATAAATTGAAGCACTTATTGGTAATAATATTAAGTTATTACTCACTTGGCACGGGTTTCACAATATTTTATATTTTAGATTAAGGTTTAATGTTTATAATTTAAAGATTTTAAATTTGGATATATTTTTCTTAAATAATTTCTTAAACTTTAAAATTTTTTTAAATTTTTGTTTCACTTTTTTTCAAAACGTCAATAATTATTTTTCACAGTGTATGAAAAATTTACGTAAAACATTTAACACTTAGTTAAAAAAAAAAAAATTTTATTTTTTTCCTTCTTATACATAATATTTTGTTTTTTTTAAATTTTTTTAATGTTTAATCAATTTTTTTTAAACAATTTTTTACTTAATATTTACAAAAATTTTTTTATTTACTACTTTTTTTTAAAATATTTTCCTAAATTTGCTTTTTTTCTTAAATTTCTACATTTTTTTTAAAGTTTGTCATTTTTTTTCCATATAAAATTTTTTAAAATCATTTTTAATTTTTTATATTTTTAAAACCAGAAGCACTTAATTTTGATTAAATTTTTAATTTTATTCTCAATTATTATATTTCGATGTTGTTTAAATTTTTTATTTTTTTCAGTGTCGTATATCCCAAAAATTTATGTTGCCTGCTTTTAGGCTTTTCTGTAAAACGCTTTTAGTTTTTTTTTTTCTCAAACTTTTCTTTAACCCTTAGATCGCCACCGTGCCCAGCAGCAGGTGAGACTGCAGCGCTGGAAGCCACGCCCACCAAATAGCACGTCCACCGCCCCCACCGCAACGACAAGGACTTCGATAAACGATAACTTTGAATATGTCTATTTTAATCGATCATCGAATTTGGAAGATTTTCAAACAACCCCAAGGGAGGAGATTGGAGGGGCATCAGGATCTACGTCCTTTAACAACTCGGTAGATGCCTTTGGTCCTTATGACGTCACCCAGCGACAGGGCAGGACCTTCGGCTTGATCTACGACTGGATCAGTGGACTCTTCAACTCCTGTGTCTCGCCCTGCACCTTGGAGGCCTTTCAAAAGCAAACATGCTGCGAAACGTACGTGGTCGATCCTTCGTATCCTGTACCACCGCCCCCGCCTCCTCCGCCGCCGCCACAGACGTGTTGTGCTGGGGCTGGGCGGCCGCCCTACCTGCCACCCCGCCCACTGCCACCGCCACCGCCGCCGGCTTATCCGCCACCCGCCTACCCTTCCGCCTATCCGAGCTATCCGGTGAACAACAAGACGCCCGTTGTGGTGGTGGCCACGCCCATCAACTGTTGCACGGTCTGCACTTACTCCTACTATGGTCCGCCGCCGTGTGGGCGCTTCTACAACAACAACAACAGTGGGGATAATAAAAAAGTCACCATATACGTGCCACCGCCGTACTATGGTTAAAGAAATAAAAATATTTTACTTTAAAAATTAAATAAAAAAAAATAGAGTTTAAAAAAAAGGAAACGGATTTTTTTTTAATTTAAAAAATTAAAATTATTTTAAGTTTTTTTTTATAATAAAAAAGTTTTTTTTTTAGTTTAAATATTTTTTTCTTTGATAGCTTATTAAATATTATTTTTTTTAATATACTTTAAAATAAATTTTATTGTTAAAATAGAGTTTTTTAACTAATTTCTTAAATTTTCTTTAAGAGTTTTTATATTTTAATATTTGTCGTAGTGTATGAAATGATATTTTTTTAAAAATATTGCTAATAGTTATTTAGTTGTTTTTAAAAAAAATAAAAAAAAAATAATAAAAAATTGTTAGTAGTTATACCTATTGTTTTCAAATTCTAATTGGGAAAAAATTACTAGAAAAATTTAAAAAAAAATGTAATTTGATTTATATTTTTAAAAGTATTTTTAATAAAATTTACATTATAGCTTCTTATTATTTATTATTATTATTATTTTTTCGATTTTTTATTAATAAATATAAATTTATTATTATTCTCTTTCGTATTTCATTTTATCTTTATTTTAATTTGTTTAATTTACATTTAAGAATATATTTTGTATAGGTCTAGTTTAAAAAAAAAGGCAATGTCCACTGTAAGACTTCAAAAACAATCATATTTCATACGCTGCTACTGTACTTTTCAACATCCACACTTCCATGGCTATTCGTAGGCACCAACGCCAAATATCTTTCGTCGCGAAAAGCGATGGAATGAAAGATGCAACAAAATCAGAAGTACAGCCATCGGGAGCAGAAAACTAAGCGTTCTGCCACCTCCTTCGATCTTGCTTGCCATCTTGCCTCCCACCGCTTTTCGCTGCCACTTCGCTGCCGCACAAAATGGCCGGCGATTTTGACGCCCGATATGGATATGGAATTATATATTAAAAGCCTAACAACGAGGTATTCTTTTAATTAATTATAGTCTTAGTATTTTAGTAGTTTAGTCTTAGTTTTATATATAAATTTAAAGTTCTATGTACTTACGATTAAAAGTATATTTGAATGTAATTGGGAAACTCCTTTATTCAAATTTTCTTAACGCGCCGCTTATATACCCGACGCGGTTTATATATTTCCTAAAAAAATCACTTTATTTCACTTACTTTCAGCACAATATTTAATAATTACACAATAATATCTTAATTTCAAGCACTGATTATTACAAAAATATTAGAAAAAGACTAAAAATTGGGACTAAAAAGCGGGACGACTTACGGGCACGGAGGATCAATAGGAACTGATCGACAGGCGGCTAGAGTCAGAGTACAGTGAGTGGGCGAACTGAGGAAGAGGCTGATAAAGAGAGCGAACGAAAGGATCTGGAGGAGAGCGCACTCTCTTAGAAGGACAACTGCTTGTTTTCCTAAACAACTATTTTCAAGCAGTGTTTTTATTATTCTAGTATTTTAAACTCAAAAGTATTTAATTATTAAAATTAAAAAAAAAAAAATAGAAATAATTTAAAAATAAATTGGTATTTTTTTTAAGGTTCTATATACATTTAGACCATAATTATAAATAAAACCCCTCAAATAACTTGGAAACTAACCCAAAAATCACTAAACAATGGCCACTTTCTTAAGAATGGATGAAGTCAACAGTTTTATTTTTTTTTTATATATAGATAAATAGGCCAAAGTTGAAAAGTTTGGAGCAGCAGGAAAGTTTTTGGGGGGCAGTAGTGGTAATATGTAGTATGGCCACTGTATGTGGAATAATGTCCTTTTGTTTGTTTGTTCTTCGCCTGGCTAATTCCGAAAAAGCTTGCATAATCTACAAAATAGATAGGGGAGCATGGTGCTGAGAGGCCTAGATAGAGGGCAGGCAGGCAGGGGGGCGTGGCACCTCGGGGGAGGCCTGTCAAAACTGCGGCAAATAAGACACACGACAAAGCAAAAGTGCGGGGCCTGAGATCCAGGAAGGGGGGAGGGGGTCTAGGTAGTTGCACTAGAAAAGAAATATAGTTGTGGATACTCTTATTGAAAAAAAGTTGTTAGGCTTATTGTTTAACATGAATATTAATAAAAACAATGTATATATATATATTTTTAATGATTTAATTAAATTATGGAAATTAAATCTATATCTTTTCCAGAATTACACCAAAAATGAAGAAGATATTCTGGCTAATACAATCATTTTTTTCTAAAAATGTTACTAAAAAGGCTTATTTTTCTTATCCATAATTAAGTTTACTCCAAGCTTTTTGTTTCATAAAATTGTACTTGAAATTACATCAAAAAAATTTATTAAAATATAATCTCCAAATATTAAACTATTTGTTTTTTGCAGGATTCTTGTAATTTATTATTTTCTTTCTTAAAATTTAATAAAAACAAAATTTTAATACAAAAATATACCTTAGAAACACTCCTAATTCAAGGTCTTATTTTGTAAGAAAAACTTCTACAAATTAAAAATATTAAAAGAGTATTAAACAGACAACTTTCGTCAGAAACTGCAGCAGGTTAACGTGCCCCATCTTTGGTCGCTTTTGTTGTGCGGCTGCTTTTCTTTTGGGAAACTCTAGTGCCGTTGACTTTTGCGCCTAAGCCAAATTTGTGGCATGTGTTTTGTTTGTTGGCTAGAAATTTGTTGGCAGGCTGCCACACACGACAACCCAGAGAAGGATCCCGGGGACAACAGCCACTGAGACTGAAACTGAAACTGAGACTGAGGCACAGGCAGGACATGTCACGTCAGCGGCACAAAGCCCGGACACAAAGGCCTGATAACTGCAGTCGCCTGATAAGCAGGCAATCCCCTAACCTACCAGCCTACCAATCCAAAAAACAGGACCAGGACACCCACTTCAAAGGCACTTGAAGAAAATATTGACAAGAATTTATAGAAAATTTAAAGCACTATTGGAAATTAGACCCTTTTTGGAATAAAAACTAAAGAAAATAAAAAAAATATTAGCTTGTCTTGTAATCCCTCAGAATTATAACTATCGACTCTTTAGGTGTATTTTGAAATTTTTAAGCACAAGTTCCTCTTCAAAAAAATCTGTTTTTCAACTTAAAAAATATTCTTTGATTTGAAAATGTGTTTCTGACGTTTTTAAAAACTTTTTCAAACAATTTAAATTTAAATAAATATAAATAATAATAAGAGTATAAGAATATGATATTTTTCAATATTTTTATTCGTCTTCCTTGCTAAAATTTTCTTTCAGAAAAGCTCATATTTCGAAAACCATTCCTTTTTTTTAATTTTTCAAAAGAAAGTAGTATATTTTCGAGGTTTCAAAAAATGATTTCAAAACTCAAAATACTTTCCAAACCACTAAAAGTTATCCCACAAAACACAAAATATATTTATCAAAAAGAATAAATATTTCTTACAGTGCATTTTAGCTTTGAAAACTGCACCACCACCCCATTAGCCCCACCCGGAAGCAAATGTCGTCTCCTTTGTCATTTCGCTCATAACGTTAATTTATATTCAGTTCAGTCTAAAGTAAAAAAAAAAAAATAAATACATAGCACGAGAGGGGGTGGGAGGAGGTACAGTGAAGCCCGTGTGTGACAGCCATCTAAGTAGGTTGAAAGGGTTGAAGTGTGTAGAGGATGAGAAGAGAAGGATTCCGAAGGGGACTTAGTTGTAGAAGTGCTGGCGACGCCTCTTGGCGGGCGTGGCGGCCACAAAACGACGTCCGGCAACGGAACCGGAACCGGACACGGAAACGGAACCATCGTTGGCCGAGTACAGAAGCAAGGGGATCTCCTCCACGCTAGTCTGCTGCTGCTGAGCCGAGTTCCTCACTCCAGAGCGGAGCAACTCATCGGCGGAGAGGCGACGCAGACCGGGTCCGGCAGCGGGGGCAGCAGCAACAGGGGCAGCGGCAGCAACGGGGGCGGGAGCTCCACCATCCAGCAGCTGATCCTCATCGTTCTCCGGCTGGTCGAGGACAATATCCTCGGGCTGGGCCACAGCAATGGTATTGCCGACAGGAGCACCGCCCTCGGCCTCGTTGTCGGCCGCCGAAATGGAGCTGCTCTGGAGGAGAGCCTCGATGTTCTCCAGGTTGGAGAGTCCATTAATCTGCAGCTGATCGTGCAGCTCGGTGGGAATGGCTATGGCCTGGACATCCTTGTGGCCGGAAATGCCGTTCGGGGTGGGAATGAACTGGACATTCTCGGGAATCTGATCCGTGGGATAGACGGGCACCAGCTCGGCCTCATTTTCGTTGCTGGACTTCAGGAGGATGAGGGAGATGGGCACGATCTTCTTGAACTTCAGCAGGACCAGCTTCTTGATGGCCACGGCACCGGGGAAGACACGTCCCTGGGGTCCGGAATGGGGCTTGGCGATGAGGGCGCGCTCCTGGAAGTGTCCGCGCTGGTGGTAACGGTGTCCAGACACGTGGCGGGCTAGAAAATTGAAAAAGGGGGTTATAGTTAATGAAGGAATATTATCGAAAAATAGGTATAGATCTTTAAAATTCATTATATCGATTTTAATCGATATTTTGGGTTAAAAATTTTGAGTGGAATATAGTTTTTAGAGGAATATTATCGAATAATAGGGATAGATCTCTTAAAAGGATATATATCTATTTCTTATTGATTTTTCTTTAATATATTAAACAATTATATTACTGGCCTAATGTTTTAGCAGTTCTTTGCGCAGCAGTCTTAAAAAATTGATATTTAATAGTATTATTTCTTTAAAAAAGTACTAATATCGATTCTTATCGATTTCTTCAATATTTCTTAATAAAAATTTTGTTTAATGTATTTTTCTACTACTCTAATATTTTATTTGATATCAATATTTAAAGAATCCTTTATTAAAAAACTGAAAACTAACAAATATCTTTCATAAATCCTTAATCGATTCTTTACGATTATAAACCAATTAATCGAAACATAGATAAAAAATCAAAAAAATCTATCTTAATGATTGATTAAATAAAATCCTTTGATTTATTAAACAAGAAAACAATAATCATTTGTAGAAATTAGAAAAAACGCGATATAAAAAAAAAAAACAAAACAAAAATTAGTAAAAAGATTAGTAAAGAAAAGATAATGGGAGGAGACGATGCCCCGGAGATAGGGCCACAACGATTCTCGATACGAAACTCACCTTCGCTAATGGCCAAAACGGCCAGGCCAATGGCCAAAAGGGCGACCAACTTAATTGCCATAATGATTATAGATTTTAGAACTGAGGACTTGAAACTTCTTGGGACCGGAACCTGGGCAACCTGGTGGGCTCTGGTGTGTCGCTGGGCGAGTGACTCTATTAAATGGTTCAACAAGTATCCGGCAAAGACATTTTATACATGGCAGGAGGAATGCCAGAGACACATAAAAATCACCACAAAAACAAGAAAAATATACAAAAGAAATTGGCAAGCGGGTCAGAACACGAGACAATACCAAATGAGATTGGATTTTCGAAAGGGGCAAGATGAAAAAAAAAAAATTTGAAAAATATAAGAAGAATGGTTTTAGAGACCCTGTCTGCAGGCCGATTGGCAAATTATTAAACTATGCAAATGTCGAAATGGTCGGGCCAGTTCAGTCGCCAACTGATTTATGCACAAATTTCAAATGGGCGAAAACCAGAAAGTCACAAAACCCCAAAAAGTGGTAGAGAAAATCCATAAACCAAGCCAAGAACGTTGACTTTTTTTCTCCTTTTCTTGGTAACCAATTTCCAATTCCATTTCCAGTTGCATCTCGCACGAAAGTTTGTGATGCTCTTCCAACGGGTGTTCTGGTTATCATATTAGGGTAAAGTCTAAATCTTAAAGATATAACAAGATTTTTTAACTATAGCATACAGATAGGGATAGTAAGGTTTACAAAAGGTTGGGAAGCCGTTTGTCCGCGTGTCCGTTAATTTTTTTCTAGACGATCCTGTTCCATCGGTTTATAAAATATTATATTGAAATTTGGTATACGGACTTATATGCATATATGCATTATATATATCAAATAAAACTAGTCAATTATAGAGACTATATCCTTAACATCCCATTTATATGAATATCTTTGTTTAATCCACAAGAGCATTCAAACTTCATCTTAATACAAAATATGCTTTCCTTTCTAGTTCTGAGCTAATTTGCTTTTTGCCTACAACAACAAAAATATATATAAAAAAAATCAAAGTTAAAAAAATTTGCATTTTGGGTCGTTGTTTGGATATTTCTCGAGCAAATTTTTGAGGTCAAAAGTGAGATTTTCAATAAGCCAGACAGACATTTGTCAATGTCGAAAGTGTGCGAGTTTCCACTGTGCTTCCCCCAACATGTCAAAGTTCACATACAAATATATACCACTTTATGGATAAATATACAGATATATATAGATGGCATGTGTTCCCAATTTTATTCAACCGACATTTAAATCAATCAAAGACATTGACTTTATAGTGCGAAATTTATTCTGTCCTCACAAAGCGTTCTCTGTTTTTTTCCTCTTGGCTTTAAAGATTAAATGCTTAACCCATTGGATACCAAAAAAAAAAAAGAGGCAAAAGGGGCTTTGTAATTTTTAAGCTACGAATGTATCTTTCTTTGTCAGCCCACGACGATAATCTTTTGTTTGGCATTTATTATTGTTTATAAACAAAGCTAATGGTTCTTTTCTGAGGGAAAATAAAGATTATTGATTTTATGTGATTTATTAAAAATAAAAAGAAGCATAAAGGGAGGCGCTCATAAAATCGTTGATTGATTTTGAACAATATAAGCCATTATAGATATTTCTATGGATTATAAAACAAAAAAAATAATGGTATTTGAGTTCATAATAAATATTTAAAACTGACTTTTATTGAATGTTTGAATGTTTTGTTTTTAAAGTTTAAACTAATCTTAAATACAAAGAATACTTCTCAAACTACAAATATATAAAAATATAATAAGAAATCTTGGAGACAATACAAAAAAAAGTATACATATATAAAATGTATTTCATAAAACAGGGATAAGTCCTAAAATTGTATTTAATATTTTTAGTTTAAATTACAGGTTCAATAAAAGGCGCTTCCGCATTTTGTACGGCTCAAATCAGGGAAGTAAATCTAGAGAAAGAGTAAAGCTCCACATAATAATTTCTTATTTCTAACATAATACTAAAGTTTGCAGAAAACTGTATACTAAAATATATTTATATATATTTATGTATATATATTTTCTAATTAGTTCCTAAAATGTGAATGAAAAACTAACAGAAAATCCTAAAAAAAAATACTCTAAACTTAATTCAACACTTTAAAATATAAATATTTATAAGTCTTAGAATAAAACTCGTATATTTTAGAAACTTAGTTTATAAAAATATAATATTATAATATTGGGTAATACATATTTTTTAAGCTTTCCATAAACCTAAAAATATTTTTAAAAAATAAGCATATATTCAATAAACTTAAGACTTCTATGTGTATAAATTTTGTGGAAATTAATATAACTTAAACACCTTAATTTATTTTCTTTTTATAATCTTTAATAAATAAAAAACAAACCTAGTTATGCATCCCTGAATAGCTTTATAATTTCGAAACGTACGTTTATTTGATTTTTAACGATTCTCTGGTATGGTTTTTAAAACTTTCCTATGGCTAATCAAAGACAAAACGATTCTGTCTACCGTGTGGAGTGTGGTTGCTGATCGGCGTCCCCCGGGGAGAATATTAATTAAATGCTGTAATTACACCTCTTATATATCTTTACAGCTAGAACAGTGGTTCGATCGATTTTTAAATTTGGCTTTATTTTTTTTCTCTTTTTTTGCAGACCACAGGTGGTGTGATTAATTTATGTGCTATATTTTCTTTTTTTTGTCCATTCTGGTTTGTATTTGAGCTACTTTTTAATTTTATATTTTTTGCGTGGCCGCCCTTTTGATGGTTTATCTAATTTATGTTATTGCTGTGGCAATTATTTAAATTTCCCACAGCTACCGTGTTGGCATTTCTGTAATGACAAGCTGGGCAGGGAATATAAAAAAAAAAAATTTGATACCCGGAAAAAAAAGAAACCGCATCTCTTCAGGGCGTTATTTTGTGTCGTTATTTTTTTTTTGGCGGCCCATTATGGGCGACATAAACAAATGTTTTAATAACCAAATTATGCGAAGAGCAAAGCAGACCGCCTGCTAAAAAATAAAACCAAAAAAAAATCACAAGAAAGGAAAGCTCACTTTTAAATGAGACGATGTTTAAATACTCTTGGAGGTTATATATTTAAATCATCGTTTAATGAGGTGCTTATTTTAATGAAGAATTTATTTTTATTAAATAGGATATAGTTTTTCACTTCTTAAATAAATCTTTGAGATAATTTTTCCCTATAATCTGCTTTTAACTCCAAAAAAGACCCAATTTATAGTATTACCCATTATTCATTTATATGACAGCTATGGGATATAGCTGTCTTCCGGTCCTTATTATTTATAAATATATACTGAAATCCAAAAACCATAATACCTTTAAGAAAGTGTATTAAAAAATCATAAAGAGAAAAGAACGCAATGTATTCATTAGCTTTTCGGGAGGACTGGACACCAAAAATAGAAAAAAATGCGAAAAAGATCCACGCCGAGTATCTCATGCTAATGGAAATGCATAAAAAAAGCATAAATACTCATTAGCCACCTGGATGTGTGTGTGTGTGTTGTTTTTTTTTTATCTATGTATTTATGTGTGTCTGCGAAGAAAGTTCGAAGGCCCTCGGAGGTCAAAACATCATCTCATTTTACCTGGGAATGTTGGGGTCACACTATTGGAAAGTTAATAGGGAAAGTTCTATTTACTATTTTTGGAACAATATCTCAGAAATAATCCCTCAGAAATTGGCACACTGATCCACATTCCGCCAAAAAGAAATCTAATCAATGGACCAGCGGGAAATTATTCGGAATTTTGTGCCAACAAAAAAAAATATCGGAAATCTAATTTATTTCTAGGAAAATTGTGGGGGCTCTTCGAGATGAATCAATCGATTGGGGTTATCTTTTAGTTTAATGATCTCAATGGGGTATATCATTCCGTCATGAGTCACTAGAGAATCTTACAGGAAATTAATGTTAAAGTTTAATTCAAAGAGTATTTTTTATGCTATTTTTAATGAGTAAAATAATTAGTACTAATAAATTTTATAATAATTTTATAATAATAATTTTAGTTAAAAATAGTCAGTGTTACAAATATGAGAAGAAAATAAGCTTTCAAAAATCACATTCCGCTTTATCTTTTAATTTTATTTATCTTTATCTTTTAAAACTTAATATTGAGGTGGTTGATTTAATTAAAGAATAACTTAAGATTAAGCTGTAAAACTATCACACAAATATTTTAAAAAAGAACACATTTTAAATCTTAAATATTCTTAGGCCAGAATTCGACAATTTTTCGAAGATTTTTAAGAAATTCTTCTTAAAAAAATGAAGAAAAAATTCCAAAACTTATGTTAGTTAATGTAAAAAGAACATAATAATTTTTTTTTTATAAATATAACGTCATTGTACAGGAAAAAAAATCTTAAACTATGATTAGTTTGAATATTTGAATAAACTCTTATAATCCTAATCGTATTCAACTAGAAATAGTTCTTTTTCCAGTTTTCAAAAACCCCAAAAACACGAAAATGAAACCCTAAAAGATATTAAAAATTAATTAAATATAATTATAATAATAAACTTCGTTAAAAGCTTCGTTCTTTTTAACAAAAAATGGCTATTAAATATTTTAAAAAGCAATAAGAATTTGAATATTTTTTGTTTTGTAAATAAAAGTAAGCTCCAAGGCATCAAGTTTTAAAAAATGTATCTAAATTGAAACCTAAATCCTCTTTAGGCATTATACAAAATTTTAACTGCTTCGCGGCTTATAAAAACCGCAATTTAAAAATCTTTAAAAATTCATCTGAGTATTACAAGGCCATAAAAAAAGAAATGGGTCTACCATTTAAGTTCAGGTCATAACTTTAGACAAAAATTCTTTAAATCCACGCCCGAACTAGTTTTCGAAAAAAAACCGAATTTCTAGCGCCAAAAAAGCGTGGCTCCAACGACCCGACGACCCGAAAACTTGGCCAATTGATTTACGGTCAGAACAGCAAGAGAGTTTGGCCAAAAAAAGAAGAAAGACAAAGAGAGGTAGAGCTGGGCGAAGCTTTCGGAGACTCTTTCTTCTCTCGGGCTAGAAGAATTCGTACTCTTTTCGAACGAATTGGGGGCCCATAGAGATGGCCAGTAGCGTTTTGGCCAAAACCGTTTTGTAGAAGGCACATAAAAAGCTTGGGACTCGGCGCTCGCTTAAACAGTTTGGCAACAGAAACGTTTGTCTGTAGACCGACTACTACGAACTAGGTCTAAATACACGCAAAAAAAAAATTTATTAAATTATAAACCACAAATAGAAAAAGATAGTTTACTCAAAACCATGACCAAGTTCGTGGTGGCTGTGAGCCTGGTGGCCCTATTTCTATGCCAGGTCCAGGCCGTGACCGAGGCTCCCGAATTGGAACAATCCACGGAATCCCCCATCGCGGATATGGCCCTCATTGGTAGGATTTCACATCAAAGAAACAAGTTCTTAACCCAACAAACCCCTTGAATAATATTATTCCTTCTTTTTTCTGTTCTTTTTTTTTTCATGTGAACCGTGTACTTGATTTTTTTTTTAAATATTTTTTTATTGTGTACTGTGCTGGATGTGTGTGCGTTTGTGTGTGTGTGTGTCTAAATAGGTGATTCGGTAATGGCACCCAAAACTCCTACGGAGAAGCCCCCAGTGGCACCGGCCATGGCGGAGAAATCCGCACCGGTGGAGGCCCTGGAGAAGTCAGCTCAAGCCGTTCCGGCCGTTCAGCCACATACGGTGGCCGATTTTATTATTCATCCACTGATCGCCTTCAAGCCCCGCCAGGCCTCCCTCGATGAGATCCAGGGTAAGCAGGCACAGGCACCCGCCACTGGAGCACCCGCCACGTCCGGCACCTGGCTGTTCGGCATGAATCCTGCCCAGCAATTGGGTTCGTCCTTCTCGACGCTGGCTGGTTCGGTTTCCGGCTGGTTCAACGATCGTCTGGCTGCCGCTGGACAGCAAATTCCCCAGAGCTTCGTAGAGACTCCGGTGAGGGAGTCCTCCACAAGCTCCACCACCAGCACCACAACCACTCAGCGTCCCGACATTGTGGTGCGAGTCCAGCAAAGGCCACAGAGGAATGGCAACAGGAAGGGCAATGGAAATGGAAACGGCAACCTCAACAATAACTTCAATGGAAACGGAAACGGAAATGGTAACCGTCGTCGCCAGCGTCCCAACCGTTACAACAACCGATTGGACTCTCTGGAGGATGAGTACTACGATGAGGAGGATGACTACTTCCAGGGCAACCGTTTCGACGAAGAGTTCGATGACGAGGACGAGGATGATCTCTCCCTTGAACAGTTTGAGGATGAGGACTCCTTGGAGGCTGTCCGTCCCCAAAAGAAGCGCAAGCAGTCCCAGGTCCAAGTTCAGAACCAGAGGCGTAAGTTCGGCCAACAGAACCAGGAGGCACCGATCAGCCAGAAGCGTCGTCCCGCCACCCAGAACAAGAAGACCCAGAAGACCACCCAGCAGAAGAAGCAGCCCGTCCAGGTGGCCGAAGACTCCGAGGATGAGGAGGAGCTGGACGACGATGAGAACATCAACAACGACGACGATGTCGAGGATGAGGAAGAAATTGTCGATGATGACAGCCAGGAGCAGGACTTTGCCCCGGAGCCGTCGGTCTTTGGTTCCTCGTCGACGTCCACACGCCGCAGCCAGAACCAGCCCAACTTCATCCAGCGCGGCCAGCAGAGCATCATCAGCCAGATCCGTCAGTTCACCCGCGGCCAGACCCCCGGCGAGCTGGGCAACACCTTTCGTCGCAGCCAGGTTGGCGGCGGAAACTCCGGCAAGACCCGCGGCCGTCCTCAGCAGGCCACTCTCGTCGTGAACCGCAACGGCCAGACCGTTTATGTGGCCCCCGAGCTGGCCAATGGGTATCCTTATGCCTACCAGGGCAAGAAGCAGAGGGTTCCCGTCTCCGGATCCTTCCCCCAGCCACCTCTGACCGTGCCCATTCGCCGTCAGGGACGCCCCACCCAGTACATCACCATTCCGTGGAGTCAGTTGGGTCTCTCGCCCCCCGAGACCCAGTCGGTCGTCTCCCTCGCCGAAGGAATTCAGGCTCAGCCCCTGATCCTCAACATTCCCCAGAGCGCCATTAACCCAGTGAGGACCGGATCCACCACCAATGGCCAGAAGAAGAAGAAGCGTCCTCAGCTGACCGCCGCCGCTGTGCCCCTCTTGGCCGATGCCTCCCTGATGGACATCTTCCAGCCCCCCCAGATCCCACCATCCCGCACCGGATCCACCTCCACCGCCGCCATCAAGCCCATCACCGCCCAGCCCGTCCTGATCGCCGCCAAGCCCGTCAAGGCCGGCGGTTCGGGTCTGCTGCCCACCAGGATTCGCCCCGGAACCATTGTCGAGAAGGCTCCCGCCATGGAGACTGTCGAGAAGATGCCCGTCATGGAAGTGGCCGAGATGAAGCCCGAACAGGAGATGCTTATGGCCTCCACGGAGGCGACTCCCCAGCAGGCAGCCAACGGAGAGCAGCAGGAGTTCATTATTGTGGGAGAGGACGATGAGCCCGGTCTGTCCCGGCATGTCCAGCCAGCCTATGGTGATGCTCGCTATGTGTCCTACGGAGACTTCCATCCCTACTTTGATCTGCTCTCCCAAAACAGGAGGTTTGCTTTGAGGAAGAGCGGTAGGTCGCTGGAGAGTCCCGAGGAGGCACAGAAGGAGGAGGTTGAGAAGAAGGAGGTCCAGAAGGAGGAGGTTGAGAAGAAGGAGGTCCAGAATGAGGAGGTTGAGAAGAAGGAGGTCCAGAAGGTGGAGGTTCCCAAAGAGGAGGTTGAAAAGAAGGAGGAAACCCTGAAGGAGGAGGTCCCCAAAGAGGAGGTTGGCAAGAAAGAAGCCCCCAAGAAGGAGGTTGCCCAGGAGGAATCCAAAAAAGAAGAACTCCCCAAGGAGGTCGAGACCCCCAAAGAGGATCAGCCCCAGTCTAAGCTTCTGTAAAAACCACAAAATAATAATACGAAACCCAAAACGAAAAAAAACTGATTACTGAAATATTCCGATAAACAAAAAAAAATAATCAAAAAAAAAAAAACAACCAAACCAAAAACCAATGATTTTCAATATCTCCCCCCCCACCCCAAAAAAGTGACGAAAAAACAAAACCACAAAAGAAATAAATTTTTTTTACCTTTTTTTTTGCGTGTGTTAATGCCTAAACCAAAAGTATGAATTGAAAAGCCAGAAAACCTATCCAAGAGAGTCGAAAAAAATACCAGTTGGTAGTCTGGCCAGTTGAAAGTTCAAGCCGAGCTCGCGGTGGCAGAGCATTGACCCTTGAAACCAGAAAGATGGCTTACTAATGAGGCTCGTGCTTCTTGACCGATTTAAATTATGTATCTATCATCTTTTGAATTTTTTTTCCATAAATTGATTTTTTCTTTTTTTTTTTGTAGACTTTCTGGGGTCAAGCTTAATTTATTCTTTCAAAGAAAAAAAATGGAAGCTGCGTATAGAATTTTATGATAATTAATCGACATTACGGTTAGACTTTTGACCGATTAACGGCATTTGGTGTATTAACAGTTGATTGACCGTTAGATCAACTTAAATAATTTATCGGAAAACAACTCTGATTTGTGAGTGACATAGTTGTGAGCTTTTGAAGGTGTTTCATAGTCCTGAAATGATATAAGTTTCATAGCAAAGAGTTTCTTTTTTTTAGATTTTTCTTAAAAGTTTTTATTTTTTGTTTAATAATTTAAAGCTAAGGATTTTTAAGAGCTTTCAAATAGCTTCTGGGAGTATTAGAAGAATTATATGAAATACCTAAACAATTAATTTTTTTTTTGTAAAGCTTCTAAGGAATATAAAGTTTTTTTGTAGTTTAGGGTTTTTTAAAAGCTGGGATTTTTCAGAAGCTTTTTTATGGAACTTTTTTGGTTTTAAATAGTAAAAAAAAGCTTAGAATATGTAGAATTTTTTACAAAATCATTATAAGGCTTCACTCCACAAGTACCGGGTATAATTATACATATGTATGTACATAGAAACTTAGATGTACCAGGTATTAATATAATTCCCATATTTAAAGTATTTTTTTAGAAAAAAATTTTAGAAATAACGATCTCTCAAAGGCTTTATCAATCTTTCATACTTTATTTTTTGGTTTAGGCATCAAATACACAAAGAAAAATATAAAAGAATTCTCTTCCAGCTTTTACAGAAGACGTGATGATGAGCCGCCTGGGGGAAACGTTTATCAAATCAACCGGAACGATTGAAAATCAAACAAAAGATAAATCTACGTACGGCCAACACAATTATGGCCAAGTTGGTTCAAATTTGCATAATCATGCCAAGAGACCAAAGCAAATTGTTAAGAAAAAAATAACGCCATAATATTCAATGGGACATTATTAGGCCAACATGCGAGCACTTCAAGTGGCTCAGAAAAAAAAAAAAAAGAATACCCGTTGACAACATTATTTTCGGTCAGATTCGTTAATTATTCTTGGCTTGGAAAGTCAGAGAAAAAAATTCTAACAACGGGGTGAATGTTCCAGCAAGAGGTCTATGGTATGTTGGGAAGACAATGGCATCAAAATTCTATGATTTCGAGACATGTGTAGAGGTCACCACCTGCTAAATTAGTTGCTTTTCTATCTCTATACGTTATATACCTTTTTAAACCAATAATTAATGTCCAAGAAAAAAAAAAAAAAGCCAATGAACTTTCAACTCGATTTCGCAGATGCCCTGCCCAAAATGGAAAAAAAAGAAGCTCCATAATTCGTGGCTCAAATCAATTTATTAGACATCTGCCAAAAAAAAATAAATAGCTGGACAGCAGCTTTCTTTATGCCGTTTTGCATTTGTTGACCCCTTTGAACTTGGAATTCTTATGGAAATTAGCCAGCAAAAATATTAGAGGTTTCTTTTTAAGCTTTTCTTCACCTTTTCGGTTGCCAAGCGGATTTTTGTAAGCAAATTTCTTTTTTTTTCTGATCAAATCATAAAATAAATATTTAAAATTTATAAACTTGACCCAAGTGCGATTTCTTTTTTTGGGGAGAAAAGGGGTTTCAAGATTTTTAAGAAAATTTAAATGAAAGTTGAAATTTTTCGTAAAAAAAATGTATAAATACAAATTGCCTTTGACCTATTTTTTTTTTTGTAAATCTATTTAGCAATTTAACAACTTTATTTCTTGGGAATAAAATTCATCGTAATTTCCAGTTCAATATGGTTTCGTCATCCTTTGGTTTATAGTCATTTTATAGGCATTTTATAACCTTTATCATTCACTATGAATATTTATAATATCAGTAGTCGATTCCATGAATATGATATGAAAATACTACACAAATTCCTTGTTCGCCTGATATTCTAAAAATATATGTGACATCGGTCGAGCGCCCCTTTGAAGAAATCAGAAGCCGACTGTGGAGTTCTTGGTTCGCGATGACTTTTGACTCTTTTTTTTTTTTCATTTTTGAATTAAAAAAGGTTGCGAAAGAATAAGCTGGAAATTAAAGAGCTATAAATTGATTGCAAGAATGAGGTAGGAATGTTTAGTTTGTAAAAATGAAAAAGATACCTTTCAGTTAACTTTTCGAAAATTATGAAAAGGACTGAATGCTTTTTAAAATTTAAATTAAATATTATGAAGTGATTACTTATTTTTGTTTTTAGTACTTTATATAAAAATACTATACATACATATAGAAATACTGTATAACATAACCCATATTTTGGAAAATTAATTATGTATTTACTTTAAACTTTGTTTAAATTCAATAAAAAAAAAATCAAATTCTTAAGCCTAATCATACAAGAAATCAATTTTTTTTATGTATTTCGTGCAATAAAAGTATTAAAAAACGTAAAATAAAATATTTTACAATATTCTTTTAGGAATTAAAGCCATTTAAATAGGATTTCTTAGCCAAAGATAAAATTTTCTTTGAAAACCATTTAAAATCGAATTTGTTTTTAATAATCTTAAATAATTACCTTTAAAATCTTCTAAATTTCAATCCTTTGTCGGAGACTTTTTGGGGACACTTCCTCCTTAGGTACTACATTCGTAAAAGATTTCAAATTAATTATTCTAATTATTTAGAACAATCATAAAATCATAAGAAAGGATATTTATGGATTTCATAGTTGAGGTATTCTTATTAAATACATAAATAAATATTTTTTTTTCTATACCATTTACTAAAAAGTTAAATCATAATCTGCTAGGACTTGAAAAGGACTCGATATTGCAGACCTATTATTCCTTAGTTGTTGACCAAGATAATGTTTTAAGGGTATTTTGTTCGGACTACAAAAATGGGTTTTATTGCTTAATTTTAAGAGATAACCTTCTTCATCTTTTGATACTATAATTTCTATTTGAAACCTTTTATCTTTTAGCTTTGATCCTCTATTCTAATCTTTCTTTCTGATTCTCCTCCTGAGAGCTGTAGGATATGTAGAAAGTGGGCTTTACATAGGAATCCAAACAGCATAGAGCAAAATATCAAAATAAATAAAAGTATACACCTTTAGTCGATTTACCTAATAAAAAAATACATCAAATATACAAACTATTCTAGTATATAGTCCTCTATAGAACTCTACCTAAATCTAAACCAAATCCCTACAAAAAAATGGTTAACGAGACGAAGGTGGAAGCGCACTTTGTAAACGAGTTCGTGTGGCCGTTTTTTGTGCCCCTCATGACGACGGTTAGCTGCACGATAGCCCTCGAGTTGCTGGCCCATTTTCTGATGTCTCTGGTCACTATTGTGGTGGTGAAGAAGTGCCTCCGCCTGGATCTGATCGGGACGGCCGATCATGCCTGTCACTGCACTCTCGGGCTGTTCCTGTGCGTGGGCGAGGCCCTTCTGATGACGGACGCCTGGTGGCTGCCGCGGATCTTCACCCACCAAAGCCTTGTCCGCATTCACATGGGCCTGGGAATGTTGTGTCTCTGGCCCGGCTTCATCGGCATCCTGACGAAATGCATCAGCAAGGCCCGTATCAATGCCATGGAGGAGGATCATTATAAATCGCATTGCACCTCCAAGCACAGTTTGTGCGGCCTTCTCGGTTACTTTCTGCTGTTGGGCGCTCTGGGTACGGGCCTGGGGCTGGTCTTGTACTCCATAAGGGCCCTTCATTTGACCCATCGGCTGATGGGCCTATTTGGATTCGTCACCGTCGCCTGCAGCGTCTGGTTTTCGTTCAATACGGGATTTGCCAGACGGGAGTGGTCCTCGCGGATGGTCGTTTGCCTGAAAATGGCGGTCCTGAGCGGCACCTTCGCGGCCTGCAGTTCCGAGATGTGGATTATTGCCGGAGAGACATTCCGGCTGCTGCCACCTTCGTTCACTAAGGCGGTCGATCTTTCAATTTCTGAGGAACATTGGGGTCCTGTTAAGGATTAGTAGACATTAGATTTCTAGTAAATGGTTTTAAATTACAATTTATGATATTTGGAAGCTTAAAATTAAAAACTTAGCTTATTTTATAAAATAAAATAATAAATAATATTACTAATAATAGCTTCTCGAAAACAAGTAATTTTTTTAAAATATATTTGTGTACATTTCTATAAATATATAAAATAAAATAAAATATATAAGCTTTTTTATTTTTTTGGCGATCATTTAATAAAACATATTTCTTTTTATTTTAGAACCAAAAACCATTTATAGTCTTTTATAGAAAATTGATGTCTTTAGGCCAAAAATCATAAAAAGAAATATGCTTTCGCTTAGAAAACAAATTTAAAGTGATTTTTCTTAGAAACTAGTTAGTCAGAAACCCGGAGAAAGGCTTTAATCTGACTTTAATTGATTAAAAAAATTCCCTAAAAAGATGGTTCTTTTTTTTCTAAAAAATTGATAAATAAACTAGAACGAGTTTTAGAAGCTATATTTTGAAAGAGATTATAAAGAGAAAAGGAGAGAAGGAGAAAGAATAAAGAAATTAAATAGAATAATAGATAGACTTCTGCCTAAAAAAGAAAAGAAAAATAATATTATCAGAATGTACGGAATGTATATGTATATACACATGTATACAAAATATCTAGAAATTACAAATAAGACTTACTAAAGGATAAAGGATATTACAATACGATACGACATTATTAGTACTAAAATGTAGTATTATCTAGAATTGATTTTAGTTATTGATAGATAATATTTTATTTATTTCTTTTATAAAGTTTTCAACGATGGGATACTAAAACAACTACCACAAGCCATCTCTCTGAAAAGAGAAACTAAAAACTACTAGCTATTACAGCAAGGGTTTAAAGCTCGTTATTATTTGCGAAATTTCAAAATATCATGTCTTGGCATATCGTATGTTAATTTTTTTAAATTGATTTTTAAAATAGAGATTTATATACCACTATATTTTAAAATAATATATTATAATACAAACAATTATTATACCTTAATGCGCTATAGTTTCATTACTTTTCTAATAAACTTTTGCCGATACACGTCGATATGTAGTTCCCAATGTAATGGTATGATGTATTTACTTTTAAAAATTTCAAGATAGATTTATGTAGAATGGAGAGAGATAATCATTGGATGAGGAAAGTGCCTTCCTTGGTGTTAAATAGAGTGGCTACCTTCAAATATAGCATATGGCCTATTTAAATAATGAATAGAATATCTTCTACACAAAAGATATAGAAACCACAAAGCTACTGTATCTTACTCATAACTGTACTAACAATTTTTTTTAAATTTAATTTCAAACCTAAAGACTCCCATTAAAAAGATAGTCTACTTCCCCTGTCCCAAAGTCCAAATTAAAAACAATTTCGGACCTCCGCCAATTGGATAATGTTTTAATTTTGGAGGCTTTAAAGGTAATTGGACCTGAAGTGCCTGAGATCTGAGACCACAGAGCCTCCCCAGACTCCAGAGAACATTGACCAAGCCAGAGAATAGAAAAAAAAACCTTGTAATAATAAATAATTTGGTTTTGTGGTGGCTTTTGGTCAAAGAAAATATGGATTTGGATTTGGAATTCTTTTTCGCCAATAAATCAGACGAGAAGTGTGCGTTACCTGTTTTTCATAACTCTGGGCTGTTGGACTTGTGGGGATTGTGGATTGAAGGGCTATCAATCAGAAGACGAGGCCCCCCTCCATACCCCACCGAAAAAAAGCTAAAACCATTTTTGTATATTATTCGATGGCCTGGGATAAAATTCAACCACTTCGCATGCGTCGTTGACTCGGAAAGCAGTCCGGCAGTCCACCAGCCAGGCAGGCAGGCCGGCCGGCAGGTCGGTCGGCAGGGTCCATGACTTTGCGGGCCGAACTTCTTCAGAAGAATTCTTCTGCGGGTGCCAAAGGTGCGTGTCTCTGATTGTTTTGTCATTAGCATGACCGTTGAGAAATCTTAGACGTCTATATATATATATGTATATATATTTTTGCTGATTAATTCAAGAGTTCAGGTCACTGAACCACCTGAACCTCTAGAACATTTTGCGAGACCTTCTTTTTAGAATATATCTACTTTTTTTTTTTTTGGTTTTTGTATTTTTGTGTTGTCTTCTGTTTGTGGTAAAAATTTCGCCACTTGAAAATTATGCCGACATCGACCGCAATTATGGACATCGTTAGCTCTCTCTTTTCTATTTCTTTTTTTTGATTTTTTTAAGAAATTCTGAGTAGAACTTTTTCGCATAAAAACCTAATGCCAGCTCTGAAAATCGTACAGTTCGCTGGAACTTTTCTTACAATTAGGATCGCATTGATATAATATTTTTTTACTTTATCAATTGCACACCCAAAAAAAAATATTATATTTGAAAAAAATAATTAAAATACTAAAATAAAAAATATTCTCCCAAAAGATGTCGAACCTGGGAGCTGTCTTGTTTGTGGGCTGCCTGCTGATGGCCATGGCCCTCGCCGAGCCACGCCTTCAGAGGCAACAGCAGCAGCAACGCCTTCAGCGTAAAATCAATTCCGCCGGACAGCAGCATCCGTACTTGTTCCTAACCGTGCCCAAGGGACGTGCCAATGCCGGTGCTGTTGTTAAAGGATTCGAAATTGTCGAGGAGGAGGACTCCCAGGAACTGGATCATCTGATCGATAATGATAACGATGATGACGACAACCAGGACGATGACGCTGACGAGGAGGAGGACGAACTGGAACATCAGTTGGGTCTGAAATTTGCCCGCAATAACTTTGCATTCCGCAACCAAAAGAAGAATCTCGACTCTCTGGAGGAGGACGACGACGACGATGATGATCAGGTTGAGGTGCAGGAATCCTTTTTGAGGAACGCTAAGCCCCAGGCTGTCGGCCAGGGTGCCCAGCAAATGGTGGTGGCTAGGGATCAGGCTGGTGCCATTATGGTGCCCGATGGCATTATCGAGATCGAGGGACAGAGCGTCCTCGACGAGAAGACCGGAAAGGCGGCGCTTTTGGTGCCTCGGGCCGCTCTGGACGCCATTCCTGATGGCGCTGTTGTGGCCCTGATGGAGCGCTCTGCCAACTCGGCTGGCATTTCCGGCGACGAGATCGAGGAGGAGCGCGCCAACCGCGTTGTCGTCCGCCGCAGGAAGAACAGCGGCCGCCGCAACATCCGCCGCCGGGGCACCAACGTCCAGCGACGTCGCCGTCGCCCCTCCTCCCAGCGTCGCCGTCGCGGCGGCAACCGTCGTCGCAACGTCCGTGTCGTCCGCCCCAACAACCGGAGGCGTGGCAACCAGCGTCGACGCGGCCAGGTCGTCTACCAGGGCTAAAGGTCACCCACCCATCCCCTCAGATTCTATATAGTATTATAGTTAAGCACCAGCGATCCAGGACACGAACTATGCAAACTATTGACAAACGATTCGAATTCAAATAAATGTGATATAAAAAAAAATTATATTTCTTGGTTTGTTAATGGGAGGACATTCTTTATAAACAGGGCTCTCCATTACGATGAGAATTGGGAAAGAAATAGCCATCCCCAGAAAGATATAGCCATCTCTCTGAGCCCTATATAGCAAAACCCCATTTTCAGGGGATCCGTCAGGAAAAATGGACAAAAAATCTAAAAAATATTTTGTATCAGGATTTTGATGCAGAATGGTAGCAAATCGATGTACAAATCGATAAAGGTACTCCGCTTGAGAATCGGATAAGAATTGGGGAAGATATAGCCATCCCCGTGGGCCCTATAGGGCGAAACCCCTTTTTTTAAGGGGTCCCATCAGGAAAAATGGACAAAAAATCTAAAAAATATTTTGTCTCAGGATTTTGATGCAGAATGGTGGAGAATCGGTCCAGAAATCGTTTAAGGTACTCCGCTTGAGAATCGAATAAGAATTGGGGAAGATATAGCCATCTCTCTCAGCCCTAGAGGGCAAAACCCCATTTTCAAGAGATCCCATCAGGAAAATGGACAAAAAATCTAAAAAATATTTTGTCTCAGGATTTTGATGCAGAATGGTGGAGAATCGATCCAGAAATCGTTTAAGGTACTTCGCTTGAGAATCTGATGAGAATTGGGGAAGATATAGCCATCACCGTGGGCCCTACAGGGGAAAACCGCACTTCCAAGGGGTCCCATCAGGAAAAATGGACAAAAAACCTAAAAAATATTTTGTCTCGGGATTTTGATGCAGAATGGTGGAGAATCGATCCAGAAATCGTTTAAAATACTCCGCTTGAGAATCGGATATGAATTGGGGAAGATATAGCTATCACCGTGGGCCCCATAGGGCGAAACCCCTTTTCCAAGGGGTCCCATCAGGAAAAATGGACAAAAAATCTAAAAAATATTTTGTCTCAGGATTTTGATGCAGAATGGTAGCAAATCGATGTACAAATCGATAAAGGTACTCCGCTTGAGAATCGGATAAGAATTGGGGAAGATATAGCCATCCCCGTGGGCTCTATAGGGCGAAACCCCTTTTTCAAGGGGTCCCATCAGGAAAATGGACAAAAAATCTAAAAAATATTTTGTATCAGGATTTTGATGTAGAATGGTGGAGAATCGATCCAGGAATCGTTAAAGGTACTCCGCTTGAGAATCGGGTGAGAATTGGGGAAGATATAGCCATCACCGTGGGCCCTACATGGAAAAACCGCATTTCCAAGGGTTTCCGCATTTTCTCATCAGGAAAAATGGAGAAAAATCAAAAAAATATTTTGTTTCGGGATTTTGATGCAAAATGGTGGAGAATCGATCCAGATATCGTTTGAGGTACTCCGCTTGAGAATCGGATGAGAATTGGAGAAGTTATGGCCATTGCGGTGGGCTCTATAGGGCGAAACCCCATTTTCAGGGGATGTGCCAGGAAAAATTTACCAAAAACTGAATCTGAAACCTATCTTAACGTTTTAATTAGATTCTTTTTTATAATTAGATTCTTTAAAATAAAATAAAACTTCTATTTAAATTTTAATATAAATGTCCACCATTTAAGTGTTGTAATCACTTTAATTAAGGTAATATTAATAATAATTTTCATGACATTTTTTCACACATTTTTAATGTTTTTTTTTTTGTGATTCCTGTATCTAATGATATTAAGCCCTTAAAGCCAATTTTTTTTTCTTTAGTTCTTGACCATAAACCTAATGGCTTTTTAAAATTAGCCATATACCAGATTTCTTTTTTTTTTTTCTTTTCGTTTTTCTTACATCCTCTTACATTGTAAAATCTGTAAGGTTCTAATTTGGGTTCTAATCACACCAAAATATAACTGACGGGCCAGAACTTCTGTTTTTTCAGGCCGAAGAAACCAAAAGGTCAATTTGCAGTCTCTTGCTGTTTTCATATTTTGGCAAAAAAAAAAAATGAGGGGATTTGACGTTAATCAATCATCGGCTAGTCAGAGTGATGGAAAGAAGAATGTTTTTGGCGAAAGAGTGGGGAAAATTAGCATAAAATTCGTACGCCTCTCAACCGACGACCCGGTTCACTTTGACCCCCGGCGAACTTGGCTAATAGAGTTGGCTTCGCAAAATGAAAAAAAAAATTAAAAGAACAATTTTTGGTGGAAATCTGGGAGGAGGGTGAATGGAGGGGCCCCAGGAGGATGACAGCCATCGATCAGCTGGCCAAGTCATTCAATCTTGGCTATAAAATCCCAAGTTCAGCCATCAGTTGTCAGTCAGTTGCGAGTTCGAACTCGAAGGCAACAAGTAATAGAACCAGGAGTCCATTTATTTAAAAAAAAAAGGATCACATCTACACTGAGCGAAATCGTGTCAGCGAATCGTCAGCAGTATGAATTGCCTGCTTCAGTTGTGTTTGGTTGTGGCGCTTTGCGCTTTATTGACCCCCTCTGCCATTTCTGGTAAGTCCTCTTAACGGTTTTTGTTGTTTTTTTTTTTTCAAAAATTTCAAAAGAAACTTTTGAATTAAAGTGAAAAAAGTGAAAAAATTTAAAAAATATTAACACTCTTTAGAGTAAACGCTTTAAAGTAAATCTTAGAAATAATTAACTGTTTTTTTAAAAAATAACTGAAAATGCAAAAAAATTAACAGATTCTTTTAAAAAATAAAAGTAATAAAATATATTCCAACTTGAACTTTTTTTAAGTGTACATAAAAAAGAACCATCCCAAAAAAATTATTTTAAAAGTATTTTCAAATTCCGAAGTTGGCAAAAAAAAATATACTGGATATGGGTCAGAAGTATTTATACCCGGTACTCGTACACTTCAAAAAAAATATTTCTTAAGTTTGAAAAGTTCTTATATATGCTTTTAAGGAAGTATAACGATTTTGACAAATATTTTTTACCAAATTAAAAATATTGCATATTGTAGACAATAATGTTAAAAAGATATTTCGAAAAACTATGGAATACAAGGATATATAATAGAATATTTTATTAAAGCATTTTAAAGGATTACTTTAAGACATTTTCAAAACTAAAAATTCCGCAAAATATAATCATAAAACCTTAAACTTAAAAGTACTCCCAAATACATCAAATTTCTTATAAAAAAATCCATAAAAAATTTAAAAGTATAGATAACTATTTGAAAAACTATTTTAATGATCTAATTTTACTAATTTTAGTGATCATTATAGTACCTTCCCTGTATGCAATTTTAATAATTTCTTAATTTATTTTTTAATTCACAGGTGAACGTCGTAATGGCTACCGTCTTGGTCAGCGTCTATCGGATCCTCAGGCGGAGGCCCGCTTCACCTCCTCGATCGCCAACAAGCTTTCCTCGCTGAAGGGCTCTACCACCACAACCACCGTCGCCAGCCCTACCGGCACTACCAGCCCATCCTCCTCCACGCCAACTACGGAGACTGTAACGACCTCCCCCACAGCGCCCACCACCTCCACGGGCACCTCGACCTCGACCACCACACCCACGACCACCTCCGGCACCGGCACCCGTCGTTTCTTCCCTGATGGCGAACTCAACGATGACGAGGAGGAGGACCTCGGTCTGCCACGCTCCTTTGCCGAGGAGGAGGACGAGGACGACGAGGAGAACCTGTTGGACGAGGAAGACAGGGAGGATGACGACGATGATGGCTTCTACATGGTCTCGCCGGCTGGCGGAAATGGAGGCGGAAACGGCAACGGCAACAGCGTCCAGGCCGCGGAACAGTCCTCGGGAGTGGTCCGTCCGTCGGACAATCAGTGGCGTCAGTTCCAGGTGGAGCAGCGCAACCGCCGACGCATCCAGCGGCTGCAGCGCGAACATAACCAGCGCATTCGCGCCCTGCTGCGCCGCCAGCGCCGCTCCGAGAAGCGCAGCCAGCAGCGACTGCGCCGCGTCCGCCAGCAGAACCGACGCCGCCGCTCGCAGCGCCAGCGCCGCAACCGCAATCGCAACCGCGCCCAACGTCAACGTCATCGTCGCAACAAGGCCGGCATGCGTCGCCGCCAGCAGAGCCAGCGTCAGCGCCGTCACCGTCAGCAGCAGCGTCGCCGTCTGATGCGTCTTCTGCGTCGTCGTCGTCGTAACCGTCGCGGTCGCAGCCTGGAGTAAGGACCTGCCCCCCCGCCCCCGCAAACCCTTGGACGTACTTCTTCCAAGCGATACGATCCGATACACTGAAATAAAATGAATTTTGTATGCAAAACAACAAAAAAATATACGAGTCTTTTTTTTTACTTTTTTTCTAGGGGGGTTTTTCAGGTGAATTTTTTTTAATTTAAAAAAAAACTCTCTTTAAAAGCTTAAAGTTTTAGTTGAAAAAAAATGTTAAATTGAAAAAAAAAATTGAAGTTTAGCTTCCAATCAATGCTGATAAATATTTTAAAAAATTGAAAAGTAGACTAACAAAACACTAAGATATTTTAAAAATTGAATAGAATTTAACAACATAAATATTTAAGTGTATAAAGTGTTAAATTAAACCACTTAAACTCTTCTTAGACTGCCTATAAAGTGAAGGTAGAACAAGTTAAAAGCTTAAAGTGTTTATATATTTTAAAAATCTTATAAAAACATAATAAAAAATATTTTAAAAATAATTAAAAAATTATTTAAAAAGGAAACGTATTTAAAAAAAAAATTAAAAAAGTTGCAAAAATTATTAGGTTGAAGTTTTAATCTCTTAATTTACAAATAAATCTCTAAACTAACTTTTCTTGAAATGAGATAGGCAGGCAGTAAAGCAGTTATTTTTTTATGGCAATCTAGACCCTATTTAAAATATAGGAAATATTTTTTTTTTATAAAAAAACGAATATTCCATCAAATAAAAGAAGGTATTTTTTTTTTAATTTTTTACCCAAAAGTTAAAAGTTAAATCAAAATAATAAAATTATAAGAATAAAGATAGTAAAATATTAGCTTAAATATCTTACATCATTCGTATTTTGTTTATTAATATTAGTAAGTCTGAAAGATCCAAAGAAATAGCTTTCTTAAACTTAAAACTAAAAACAATTTACTTTAAAAATAGGTAAATAAATTTTAAAAATACTTTTAAGTCAAGATTTTATTACATCTTTGAATCAATTTTAAGCTCTCAGCTCTGAAGAACTTGTGATCTCGCAGAAATCTGCGACTTAAAGAAGAATTCTCCCGCGTGGGGTCAAGACCTGTCCAGTTCAATGACATCTCTCTCTCTCGCAGCTCCACTTTCGCCCTTCGATTTGGAAGAATTTCTTCGTCGCCAAGACCATTGCCGAAGAATCGCCAAATATGAATATGCAAAATAGAGTGTCTCCAGCGAATATGCAAATTATTTTGGTTTGATCTTTCGGGGTTACGGGTCATGTTGGGATTATTTATGGCATTATGCAAAAAAGTTTACAATTTCAGGCCCTTTCAGCTGTTGTTCTCTCACTCTGGCCAATGGCAAAAGGATAGCCATCTCTTTCTGTAGGCCTTAACAAAGTTGGGAGGCCCTTTGGAGCTCTTGTAACTTTTGTAACATATAAATATCGAGGGTCGAGGCCTAAGAAGTCAGTCACATCGGCCCAGCCATCCAAGCCTAGTTACAAAGCCACTTCAGCCAAAAGGATATTACGAATATATTTCAAAAGATTCAAAAAAATATATTTGAAAAATGCATCTGATGAAGGGATTACTTGTGATTGCCTGCCTGGCTGTGTTTGCCAATGGTATTATAATTGAGTTATAATTTTAAGAATTATATAATAATTATTATATCATTTTCGTAGCCAAGCCCCAGAACTTCCAGGTCTTTGGCCGTCAGCGGGATGAGCCCGTCGCCCAGGGACGCCTCAGCTCCACTCAGCTCACCGATCTGATCAACAGCCTGAAGGGCAGCAGCAGCAGCACCACCGCCGCCCCCACCACAACCACCACCGTTCCCACCACCACCACCGTCACGACCTCTCCCACCGCTCCCACCACCTCCACCGGCACCTCGACCTCGACCACCACCCCCACCACCACCGGCTCGGGAAGCGGCACCTCCCGCGGCTTCAACGACGACGATGTTGAGGACGACGACGACGAGCAGGAGCACCAGGTGGCCGCCAACTTCCAGGAGGACGACGATGATCAGGAGCAGGATGTGCAGGAAGCCGTCTACCAGCAGGCCGCCCGCTCCCAGTCCAACCGCCGCCGTCAGCTGGTGAAGGCTCGCCGTCAGCGCCAGCGCATGCAGCAGCGATTCCGTCGCCGCCAGCAACAGCAGAAGCGTCGCCGCCAGCAGCAGCAGCAGAAGCGCCGCCAGCAGCAGAAGCGTCGCCAGCAGCAGCGCCGCCGCCGCCAGCAGCAGCAGAAGCGTCGCCAGCGCCGCAACCGTCGCCAGAACATGCGCCTTGTCCGCCGTTTCCGCCAGGCCACGCCCAACAGGAACCGCTCCATCCGCATTGCCGCCTAAGAAGGACTCGAGGATAACCTCGCAGAGGATCGAATCAGGACCATATACTCGAATGAATAATAAACATATTTAAAAAAAAAATTATTTTAAAAGTTTTAATTGAGGGAGGAAAAGTAGGGGAGGGGGAAGTTTTAGATTAAAAATTAGAAAATTTTAAAAATAAAAATTAAAGACCCAAGACAACTTAAACCTTGACCTTGGATTGAGTTTCCTTTAAGATCGCGTTGAAATATTATTTAAAATAATATTTGATATTTAATCATATAATTAATTTTTCTGGATTTTTCCAAGTTTTCCCAAGTTGAGTGCTTACACTTTTTTAAATTACATCAAGAATAGACTAATAATAGAGTAATATGGTGTTTTTTTAAAAAAAGGTATTCATATAACCAGCATTTAGCTGAAAATTATATTAAACCAAAGTTTTTGATCATATTGTATTTCATAAATAATAGGTAAAACATACACATACGAGGACTTTTAGGAGGATCGAAGACTAAAGATAATAAAATTATAATAATCGATAAAATCTAGAAATTAAATCCGAAAATATTACACGCAATATTTTATTTTTTCTTCTTACCTGTTTTTATTGTTTCTTGTATGCAAGAAATACAATTACCTACTAGTTTCTTTTATTTAATAATTGGTATTTTAAAGTTTTTGAAAAAAATTACTTAGTTATTAGTTTTAAACAAAAGATTTGGGTTTTAAAGATTTTATTAATTTGTATGTACTTAGTATTTTAAAATGTACACGAAAATTTTATTTTATGCTAATAATTTTATATATGTATATTAAATTATACTAATATATTATACTAATTATAATAAAAACCCTAAAAACCAGGCCGCTTAGTTTTTATTCAGTTTTGGCGACACTTGGCGACCTGAACTTTGGCAGCGATATCGTTTTGGGTCACCAACAGTTCAACGATCGCTGAATAGCTTTTGCCAAAATTTATGGAAAAATCTGTGCAATAAAATAAAAAATTTGTTGCAATTTTGCTGCTTTGTAAGAATATGGAAATTTTAATGAGAATTATATAGAGATAAGAATCGGATTATAAAAGTCGGACTATGATAATATGGTTAACGTTGGGTATATAACCCCAATCGATGGCAAGATCACAGTTCCCCGGCGATCTTCCCTCCAGACAGTGCCTCTTAGGTCGAGGCCTAAGAAGTCAGTCACATCGGCCCAGCCATCAAAGAGTTACAGAGTTTCTTTAGCCAAAAGGATATAACGAATAAATTTGAAAAATGCATCTGATGAAGGGATTACTTGCGATTGCCTGCCTGGCTGTGTTTGTCAATGGTATAATTGTTATAATAGAGTTATAATTTCAAGAATAATATAATAATTATTATATTATTTTTGTAGCCAAAACCCAGAACTTCCAGGTCCTAGGCCGCCAGCGGGAAGAGTCCGGCTCCCATGTACGACTCAGCTCCGCGCAAATCAGCGATCTTATTAACAGCCTTCAGGGCAGGACAAGGAGCACCCCCACCGCAACTGCCACCGACGTTCCCTCCACCACCACCACGAGTACTCCCGTCGGTCGCACCACCTACACGGGCACCCCGATCTCGACCACCACCCCCTCAGCCACAAGCGAGAGATACCGCAACAAGAACATCAACGACGATCTTGAGGAGGACGACGATGATGAGGAGCAGGATGTGCAGGAAGCCGTCTACCAGCTGGCCGCCCACTCGCAGTCCAGCCGCCGCCGTCAGTTGGCGAAGGCCCGCGGTCAGCGCCAGAGCATGCAGCAGCGATTCCGTCGCCGCCAGCCACAGCAGAAGCGTCGCCGCCAACAGAAGCAGCAGAAGCGCCGCCAGCAGCAGAAGCGTTCCCAGCAGCAGAAGCTTCGCCAGCGCCGCAACCGCCGCCAAAACATGAGCCCTGTCCGCCGTTCACAAGCCACGCCGAACAGGAACCGATCCATCCGCATTGGCGGAGGAAGAACCTAAGAAGGAATCGAGGATTACCTCGCAGAAAATATAACCAGGAACATATACTCTAATAAATAAATTGAAAATTTAATAAAAAAAATTACTTCAACATGTTTTAATAAAGGGAAAGGGGAATCTTTTTAAATTTGGATTTAAAAAGATTTACATATTAGAAAATTTTTTAAAATAAAAATTAAACCTAAGGCCCAAGAAGACTTGAAATTCCACCTTGGCTTGAGTTTCTTTTTAGATCAGAGCCATTAAATACAATTATATTATATATTGGTTTGAAATATTATATAATTTAGTATTTAATATTAAAACATTCATAATTTCATAATAAATTTTTTTTCAGGATATGTAATTCGAAGCTGTTTTCGTTTTTTTAAAGACACAAAAAATAGTCTTCCAAACATATAATTATTTTTGTCTTTCAGAATTTGGAAATGGCTTGTGCATCAATTATATCAGGAAAAAAAAAATTAAATTAATCTGTGGATTATATAAAATTGTATTTTATAATTAATAAGCAAAGAGCACATACACATATTTTGTAGTTAAACAGAAACGAGGTTTGGTAGTTCCAAACGAGGAATAAAGATATTAAAACGATCAGAATCTATAAATTTCTAGTGGCATGATCCAACAACTTTGTTTATTACAGCAAATGATAAATGTAAGAAACTGATTGAAAAAAATTTTTTTCCTATAATTATCATCAAAATAATTGATTGCAAATTTTAATTTTTTGAGTTATCGATAGTTATTGAAGATTGAAGATTAAGTTATTGAATATCGTAATATAAATAATAGACAAATACAACATATGATACCTATTAATCTTATGTTTAACCAATTGCTTTAAACCAATAAATATTTACTTAAATACAAAGAATATAAATTATTTTTGAAAATAGAATGATAATTATCAATAACAGCTATGGGTTTTAGTCCTAAGACTACAGGTTATCTAAAACATGAAAATACGATTAGGCCACACATATTATAATTTGTTTTATTTATTTTTTCTTTATAATATATTTTAAAAATTCCCTTTTAAACTTATTTATGACAATTACGTTTTTATATTCCTATAAACATTCAATATAATAAAAGATTATTTATTATATTTATCGATAATTACCTGGGATTATGATCTATTTTGATTATTAGGATTATAAAGCAATGATATTATAGTTTGACTAAAACCTATCAAAAACAAAGTGGAAAAATGCCTTTTCTTCCTTGTTTTAAAATTATATTTTATTATTTATTAAAATGCGGAATTAAAAACATTACAAAGACCCGAATCAAAAGTAGTAAACCTACATAGTTTTCAAGAAAAGAGATTATTTTCAGATTAAAAATGTGTTAATAAATAATTTAATTAAAATTAGACTTTCTCAAAATCCTTTTTTCACAAAGATCAAAGTAATAACTGTTTACTTGCTTATATTATTTCCATTATTCAATAAATACTTTATTAAATTAAATATTTTAATTAAAAAGCTGATAAAAAATTGAAATTTTTTGTAGTTTCTTTTTAAATTTTTGGATAAGATTAAGAGATTAACATGTTTAAAAATAATTCAATGGAACTAAAGTTTATATTTAGTATCACTAAATATAAACCTATGACTATTCAACAAGTGAAACTAATTAATAAAAAAATAAAAACCTAATAGTCAGGCCGCTTAGTTTTCATTCAGTTTTGGCGACACTTGGCGACCTGTCGAACTTTGGCAGCGATATCGTTTTGGGTCAAAACTAGTTCAACGATCGCCGAATAGCGTTTGTCGAAAATTTATGCAAAAATTTTTTGCAAAAAAAAAAGATAAAGAAAAATTGGCAAATTTGTTGCTATTTTACGTATTTTGTTTGGTTCTTTTTTTTTCGTTTGGCAAAAAATATGGAAATGTTAATGAGAATTATTAGCAAAGAATCGGACTATGATAGTATGGTGGAGTCGTAACTGGAGCGTTGGGTATATAACCCCGGTTCGCCGATGGCAAGATCACAGTTCACCGGCGATCTTCCCTCCAGGCAGCGCACAGTGCCTTCGCATAGCCTTCGAATTAATTCGATTGAATATCACATCCAGTATCCAGCATCCAGCTAGATAATAGTATCTTTCTTCCTGGAAATCCATTTTCCTTAAAAGAAAAACGACGATGAAGTTCATATACGGCGCCCTGCTCGTCCTGGGCTTAGCGATTTTTGTTCAGGCCTCTGGTGAGTTTCCATTTAAAAAAAGGTGTTTTATTTTTTTAAATATACAATAATTTGTAAAATAAAAATTTTCCAAATAATAATTAATACCTTAAAAGCTAGGCTCTTTCAATGAAATATTAAAATGATATACACGATAAATGAATATTAAAAATATTAAAAATATCAAATAGTACATAACTTTAATACTTTCGAAATATTTTCATATTTTCCATATTCAAATATTTATTTTAAAGAAATTTTAGTACTTTTCTAACTAAAAATATATTTAAAAAAATTTTAAAATATTTTATATAACTTTTTGAATAAATATTATTATCTTCTCCTTCTAGGGGCCCGCTCCAGGGACAATGACAAGAACTCGGCCGCCGAAGAAACCCCCCAGCAGACAAAGCTGCGTCTTTTACGCCAGCCCGTCCAGATTGAGGCCCGGAACCTTCAGCAGCTTTTGGCCCTGAAGCAGTCCCCCTGCCCGCCTCCCGACTCCCCAACGGGAACCACCACAGCCCCCACCACAGACACGACAACAGTTACCACCTCTCCTACGGGGCCGACAACCGCCACTGGCACCACCACCACTACCACCACCCCAACCACCCCCACAGGTACTACGACTTCGAAACGTTCAGGAAGTCGCCATTTAAATGACTTGGACGAGGACCTTGAGAACGAAGAGGAGGAGCAGGTGCAGGAGAAGTACTTCCACGACGAGAACGAGGATAACGATGTGGAGCAGAACGACGACGATGATGATGAGGACAACAGCTATGGTCTGGTGCTGGGATCGAAGCGTTCCGAATCCTCTGGCCTTCGTCGCGGTAGCTCCAGCTCCAGCCGCAATCCCGACAATCTCTCCAACAGCGAACTGATGCGCGAATGGGAGCTGCGCCGGCAGAAGGACATCAACGATCGTCTGCGCCAGCAGCTGAAGGCCACCCGCCGCCGCAAGAACGTCAACCGTCGCCGTGCCGCCAACAAGCGTCGCCAGCAACGCCGCCGCCTGCAGGCCAAGCGTCGTCGTGCCAACCGCCGCAGCACTGCCGCCCGCCGTCGCTCCAACCAGCGTCATCGCAACCAGCGTCGCCGTCTGCGCCGCAACAGCCGCATCAACCGTCTGCGTCAGCGTCGCCGTCTCAACCGTCGTCGCAACTAGGCCTTCGATCCTTTGAACTTTGACCTGTAATGGCTAAAAAAAAACGATAATAAAGCAAATATATATATAAAAAAAAAAAACTACTTGGTATTTTTTGTCTCATACGGGGGTAATTTTAACTTCTCTAGTCAAGTAACTAACTAAGTTAAAAATTTTACTGGAATATACATACCATGTTAAAAATATGGTAGATATATAAAACTGCTTTACTTTTCTAACCTAAAAGCTTAGAAACCATCATTTTGTATTTTAACTTGTTTTTAATTCCCTTATACTATACCTATAAAATATATATTTTTATTTCCCTTTTTTTTATTAATAATTCCTAATATAATTTCCTAATATAATTATAATATAAATTTATTTTCCGCCAGCCCTAGGAAAAATACCAAAAAACACTGCTTACAAAAAAAAACAAGCAGTTTTCCTTATTGAGAGAAGAACTATCAGCTGCAACTGCGCTCTCCAGCTCTCTCTCACTCGCTGCCTCTGCCACTCGCTGCTTCGTTCTCAAGTTTTCCCAGTTACTTCTTCTTCATTTTCATTTACAAGCGTTTCAAGTCAAGAGTGTTTCGAATATTTCTTAAATAATTCCTTGAATAAAATATGGAAGTAATTGCATTATTAAATACATAACAACTGGAGGATTCTACGTCTGTGAGAGCCGTGGCATCGCTCAACAAAATACATAAATAGAAAAGCCAGAAATTATCTTCATTTTCTCTCCAAGGTCAGGTAAGTATGAAACTAGTATCGTAAATCAGTAGAATTAACTATTTTAATGGAAATCAGTAGTTAATCTTCGAAATATGGAGGATCTCTTCACTGGATCTTAACTTTCCAGGTTCTCTCTTGTGTGTGTGTGTATTGATGTGAGTTCCATGCCCCAAAACGACGCAATTGTGGAATACAGTTAGAACGGAATACGTTTTCTCAAATGGAATAAGGTGGGAGGCAAGGAAGCAAAAAGATGCAACATATACGCGAAGAATACAAAATGGATCCGTAAGCTACACTGAAAACTATGCCATGAAATAAAATTTAATATTTTTCAGATTTTTTGAATTTTTGGAATATTTGCTTTCAAATACGGATGATGATATAAATATAGATCAACTAAGATACTACATAGATACAAGGATGAACTAAATATGGTCTAATATTTTAAAAATTTATGGCATTTAAGAAGGACATACATATAAGGAGGAAAAATATATAATTACTTATGCATATAAATATTTAAAACTTGAAGTATCGAAGGATCATCGAAGGAAGTTCAGTTGCATGTGAGTTTGATTTTTAAAATATTTTTAAAAAGATTTTAATTGTTTTCCTTAAATACCCATGATCTTCAAAGCATTTTAGTCGGAATATGCCGACTATACTCCATAGCCCCTCTCTATAGAGCTAGGGAAATTGCCATGAAAATTATTAATATAATATCATTTATATATATGTATAATTTTAAATTTTAGTCGGAAAAAGCAGGCTATACCCCATAGAACTTCCTCATAAAATCAATGGAATAACAGTTTCTAAAGTTTTTATACATAGTTTTGGGGAAAATAGTTATACATTTTAGTCAAATAAGGAAAATAAGATCCTCTTCATGGAACTAAAAGATATAAGACTAGTAAAGAAGGTATAACTAGTATAGATAGTAGACTACTATAGAAGGTTATACAAGTCTTATATTTATTGGGGATTGGCCGATACCCCATAGTAACCTTTCTATATGATAAGCTGATTTATTATTTCGAATATTAAATTTTAAAATATAAATATCCATCTTAAAACACCTATCTTAAAACCATTACCATTACTATCTAACGTTCTTTTTAAGTCTCATTGAAGTATTTATAGTTGAAGGGTTTAAACTCAATACTTACTTAAAAATTATTTAAAAAAAAAAGCATATACTTAAAATACATATATAATAAATATATATAATATATGCTTATGTATGTTTCTTTTCCCACCTGAACTGTTGCTTCTCTTACCTGTTTTTGGGTCACTTTCGCAGGAGAGCCGTAGGCCCATCACCTTCGACCCTCTGGGTTCAATTAGAAATCACTTTGAATGCCACACACCAGTACACCAGTGAGGTATTTTCACTTTTTTTTTTTTTTAACCAAATACACTTAGAAAGCCAACAAAATCGGAGAAAAAAAAATCGTTACGCTTGGGGAAGAAAACCGAAAAAAGCCAGAAGAAATCTCCGAAATCGATGATCGGCAGAACAAAGTTTTGGACGATGACTATGAAAGAATAGTAGTATTATTTGAATATAGCTGCAAGCGATATTTGCCACCGAAACTCAATTGAATTTCAATTGCTTTTGGCTTTGGCTTCAGACTCATAAGACTGTGTACATAGTATAATTTTTGTTCATCTCTCTCTCTCTTTCCCATCTCAGTATATATAGTTCTATATATATATTTTGTTGGTATATTTTCACCGATTTACCGTTTGTAAAGGTCTTTTGGATATACCCTAAGGGTTTATGCCCCGTTGGGACTATAAAAACCCTCGCACTTTGCCGATAATGTATCAAAGCCTGATTGTCCAGTCAACGGCAAGCATCCTTAAAAAAATATATATTAATTTTTTATTATATATTTTTTTTACTCTATCCGGTTAAAAGTTCTCTCTTAAAGTAGAGTAGTTTATCCGGTAAAAGAAGAGAGATCCTTCCAAAAATGAAATTATTTGCAATTATTTTTGTGACCGCCTGTCTTCTGGTGACAATCATCGATGCAGCTCCGGAAAAGACGCGTATTGGCCAGAAATCTCGTGCCAAGAACCAGGATGCTCTGGTCGATGTTGTCGCCAAACAGGATCAGGATGTGAAAGTTGGAAATAGCCAGAGTGTTGGAGCTGCCGGAGCTGGTGCTGGTGTCAAGGATCCATCCAGTGGCCGACTCTTCCTCAAGAAATTCCTCACCTTCAAGAATCTGTTCAGTAGCAATAATCAGCCCGTGATTCCGATCATTATTACGGGAGCTGGTACGGGAACCACGACAGGAACCGCAAGCCCCACCAGCCCCACGGTGACTGTGACCTCGACGGGCACCATTCCCACGGCCACCGGTACGATCACCACCTCACCCACTTCGCCGACATCACCCACTACGGCCTCCAGCCGTCAGCAGCAGTCGTATGGAAATGATGATGACAACCAGGATGCCGATCAGGAGCAACAGGAACAGGCTGTACAGCAGCCGGCTGCCGCCTATCCCTCCGATCTGATGGACGAACAAGCACTGCAGGCCGCTCTGGCCGCCGGTGCTCAAGAATACGAAGTAGTGACCGGGGAAGAGGTCCAGGGCACAGGACCGGTGAACGGAGCTGGCGAGAGCAAGGCCACCAGCAGCCATATCAACCTGCGCCGCAAGGGTGCACGCCGTGGTCAGGTGATCAGTGTGAGGATTCCGCCCAGGTATCGTCGCTACTTCAAGAACGGCCAGAAGGTGATGCTCAACACCGGCAGCCGTCCCGGTGGCAACAAGAGGCGTGTGGTGCGCAAGCGCGTTCCAGCCAAGAAGCTCAACAATCGTCGTCGCGGCGGCAACAAGAAGAATCGCAAGAATCGCAACAAGAACAGGCGTACCCGCATCATTCCCGCCTAAAGGCCAAGAAATCGACCAGGAATCCTCAAGGATTCGCACGGGCTTCCTTAGGGTATCCTATCCTTCAGCAACGACCGCTTTCTAGCAGAAGTAATATATTTTTTTTTTCTAATTTATTGTAGCTTAACTTGAAATTGCAAAACGAATAAATGAAGTCTTTTGAAAACTAAATTAAAAATGGGCTTTTTTTAATTTTATTTTTACAAATAAAAAATATGAACAAAGATAAAAAGTTAGATTTAGGGCCAGAAAAATTAAAGTGGCATTTAAATCTAAAAAGTGTACACATGTACAATTATTTTTATTTTATATTTAAAATTAGTTTTATTCATTTTTTTCTTCAATAAAATTCGAACTCGAGTTTCCAAATTTTAGAAAAAAGTGAAAACTTACTAGAAAAAGTAGGAAAAAAAATTGAAAACTTATTCTTTATAGTCTTTCCAAAATATCAAAACTCCTTTTGAAAAAAAATAATTAATTTTCCTTTAAAAAAAGTTAAGAGTTTCTATTTAACGTTGGATCTTGGATTTAATCTCTTAACAAAAAAAGAGTATATTTTTTAAATTTTAAAATAAAATAAAATTATAAGTAGCATTCCTACTCATAAAAAAACCCAAAACCCTCAGAAAAAATGTCAAAAAACTTCAAAAACCAACAAAAAACTTTAAAAAAAAAATTGAAAAAAAAAAAGTACCCCATCGAGATCATTGATCCCCACATCGTAATGTGAGAATAGAATCAATGGAGTATCCATACCCATGTACATATACATATATTCATGTGTTTTTTTCAAAGTACGCACTTGACCCAATTTTTAAGTATTAAAGCCAAAAAAGATGGATTGAATCGTGACGGAATGATGCTGCAAAATTTTACTCTCCGGGTCCCGGAGTATTTAAGCCCGATGGTGGCCCGAGGCAGAAGTCAGAAGACAATAAGATGGAGGGCCTGCCATTGTTAATGCTGATCGTTTACTCGATTCTGGCCTATACCACGCCGCACACTTGGGCCAGAAGCTGCAGTCGTCCAGCCGTTGGGTTAAAGTCCAACAATATCGCTGATATCGAAGAAACCCAAATCGATCTCAGTCAGTTAAGTGAAAAGCAATTGAAACAATTGGTCCAACAACTGGCCAAGTTTCAGACCCAAAAGGATATAGAAGAGGATGATGAGGATGGCGAGGAGGAAGAACAGTCTTTGGAGGAGGATTACGAGGATCACAGAGGTAGCAGTCGTCCTTGGAACAAGGTCCAGAGGATTATACGAAGACAGTTGGTGAAAATACCAAAAAGATATTTGAAGAAGCTACTGCGGCAGTTCGGTTTGGCAAGATCGAGTGGAGTTGGAATTGGTAGTGTTCGGAGTGGAGGTAATTTGAGGATACCATTGGAGGAGTATTATCTTATACCATTGGAGTAAAAAATATAAAATTTTGTTTAAATAATTTTTAGGGAATATATGTAATTTATTGTAAAGGGTGTAGGTTTTGGTATAAAATTAATTTGAATAAAATAATGTATTTTATAATAAAAAGACTCCTTTAAGGAAAACGCTCTTCCAATAAAAAAAAAAATAAAATTAGGTAAAATAAAATTAAGCCTAAATATAATTATAGCCACTTTTTTTTTTTTTTTACTCTGGTAGTCTAGTGTACAAAAACAGCTCTTCAATTCTTTTTTTTTTTACTTAAATTTCACTATTTTACTTAATTCTAAATCTATTATTTTTGTAAATCTTCAAAAATATCTTTAAATATATATTAAAACACAGAAGAAAACCGGAAAAATCTGAAATTTTTGTAGCCTAATTTTAGGCACAATTGCAAATTCTAAACAAAGCTTTTAAAATTTTATCTTTATTTTTGCTTTATATGAGTTCTAGTCTAGTTCAGAAAAACAAAATCTATTATCTATAGTTATAGTTATCCAAATCTATAGTTATCTATTTAATATTTTTAACACTTTCATTTGAAAATACAAATATTAAGATAAATGAAATATTACTTCCCCAAGTGATACAGACTAACTAACAAATTTAGTGAAAAAAATATTTCTAAAGCTTTTAAACATTTTTATGGAGGAAGGGAGTGACTCCTATTGATTTTATCATTATTTTCATATTCTTATTTTTCCTATAGAAGTACAAATATTCTAATAAATATAACTTTCCATAAAAATACAAAAAAAGGTAAAATCTATTTTAAAAATACATATATCTAAAGCATCAAGATGCTAGGGATCTAGTGATCAGCTCTGTATATTTGTATATAAAAATGTATCCCCATAAAAATTATTTCCCAAAATAATACTGAAAATGGTAAACATTTTTCAAAAAATATTAGTTAAGCTTTTGAATAATTTTTATAAAAAGAGAAACTTCGAACCGATCATGCCACAAAAGCTTTCGATTATGTTTATCTGGCGGATTGAGCTTTCGAACAGCTGTTTCTTATTTTTTAGCGATAGCTTCTAATGATTATATTGTGTCACACGTCGAAAAATAAGCATTAGAACGAATCAGTTAGTTGGGTGGATTAGTTTGCAAAAGAAGCATGTCGACGGGAATACTTGCCGGGAAAGTGGCTCTCGTAACGGGTAAGTGTATTGATATTTACACTTCAACACAAAACAGATATCAGCTTCGAGTATTAAATTACAATTTAATCTGAAAAAAACAGGTGCTGGATCTGGAATTGGGCGTGCCACTTGCCGACTTTTGGCCCGTGATGGTGCAAAAGTGATAGCCGCCGATTGCAATATCCAGGCTGCCCAGGAAACGGCCAAGGAGTTGGGTGCCGAAAACTCGGCCGCCTTAGAAGTGAACGTCGCCTCGTCCCAGAGCGTCCAATCAGCTGTGGCCGAGGCCCTGAAGAAATTCCAACAGGCCCCCAGCATTGTGGTTAACTCGGCTGGCATAACCCGGGATGGTTATCTCTTGAAAATGCCTGAAAAGGACTATGACGATGTGTACAGTGTGAATTTGAAGGGAACGTTTCTGATAACCCAGTACTTTGCCAAGGCCATGATTGAACAGAATGTGAAAAACGGTAGCATCGTTAATCTATCGAGTATTGTGGCCAAAATGAATAATATTGGCCAGGCCAATTATGCGGCCACCAAGGCGGGTGTGATCTCCTTCACCGAAGTCGCCTCCAAAGAGTTTGGCAAGTTTGGTATTCGTGTCAATTGCATCCTCCCGGGATATATCGATACACCGATGGTGGCCGTGGTGCCGGCGGCCATCAAGGAGCAGGTCATGCAAAAGTGTCCTTTGGGCAGGCTGGGTCAGCCGGAGGAAATAGCCGAGGTCATTGCCTTTTTGGCTTCTTCCAAGTCCTCGTACATTAATGGTGCTGCCATCGATGTCACCGGGGGACTAACATAAGAAGTTCCTATCCCCCTTTTTTTTTTTGGGAAAATTTACCTTTTTTTTTTTGTAGCCAGGACATTGCATTTATTCGTGAAACTATCCTGTGAAAATATGTATATTTTTTTGTATAAATAATAAATATTTTATAAATGACTAATTAAAAGCTGATTTTTTATTCTTAATCTTAAGATTTTATAGAAATTTTATAAATTGTATTTCTATATATTCCTAATACCTATATATTTTTTATATTTATTATATAATATATATTTATTATTTATTATTTTAAGTTAAGATTTTTAACTAATACCAGTACGATCGTGTGGCGCCATCTAGCTAAGACTAATGCGACCAACACAGATCTTCTTCACATATTTGCCTATCGATAACCATATACTTGCTAGTCTTTAATCCAATAATTTAAATGGTGATTTTGAAATGAATTTTTTAATTTTGTCACCATTATTTCTATATTTATTTATTATTATTGATATTTTCTTATTTTTATATATATATATTTGATGGGCAGCACTGGCATGTTGTATATGCAGCCCAAAACTATGCTGCAAAAAATTAAAAAAAAAAATTTTATAAAAAATTTGTCGACCCAGGTCGGAGGCCATATCTTCGCCGATTTCCATACGATCTTCAAAAGGAATGTCTCAAAGGATTCGTCGAACGATTCTCTACTAATCTGCATCAAAATCCTGGAACAAAATATTTTTTCGATTTTTTGTCAAATTTTCTGGGGGCTCCCCTTCGAATTTTAAAGAATCCACGGAAAGCCCCTTAGGGCACCGGTCGGAGGCCATATCTTGGCCGATTTTCATCCGATACTCAAAAGGGATACCTTTAGGGATTCGTGGAAGGATTCTCTACTAATCTGCATCAAAATCCTGGAACAAGTATTTTTCTCGATTTTCTGTCAAATTTTCTGGGGGGTCTCCTTCGAATTTTAAAGAATCCACGGAAAGCCCCTTAAGGCACCGGTCGGAGGCCATATCTTGGACGGTTTCCATCCGATCCTCAAAAGGGATACCTTAATGGATTCGTAGGACGATTCTTTACTAATCTGCATCAAAATCTGAGAACGAAATATTTTTTCGATTTTTTGTCAAATTTTCTAGGGGATCTCCTTCGAATTTTGAAAAATGCACTAAATCCCTATAGGACACCGGTCAGAGGCTATAACTTCGCTGATTTCCATCCGATCCTCAAGAGGGATACCTTAATGGATTCGTAGGACGATTCTCTACTAATCTGCATCAAAATCTTAGAACGAAATATTTTTTCGATTTTTTGTCAAATTTTCTAGGGGGTCTCCTTCAAATTTTGAAGAATCTATGGAAAGCCCCATACGCCCCAGGTCGGAGGCCATATCTTGGCCGATTTCCATCCGATCGTCAAAAGGGATACCTTAATGGATTCGTAGGACGATTTTCTACTAATCTGCATCAAAATCTGAGAACGAAATATTTTTTCGATTTTTTGTCAAATTTTCTTTGGCGATCTTTCCAAAATCCTGAAATATGTATGGGATTACCGCGAGGGCCTTGTCATTTTCAATTTTCGTTCGATTCTAGAGCGGGTTATCTTATTGTAAAACGTTAGTAAGTTTATTTTTAACTAATTAATTATATATATAATTAAGTTTAATGGATATATATGTTTTTTTTTAGTTTTTGTTGTAATGCCTTTGAGCTGAAATCAGTTTCCTCCTTGAAAACGTCCACTTGGAAGTCCTCGCACCACTTTCAATGGCAAGCATTCAGCCACAAAAGGCCATCGAAGTGGGAAAATGGAATGTGTGACACGGCTTGTTGTGGTCACGGGTGGGGTGATTGGGTGACTTGGTCGCTGGATGGGTGGATGGGTGGGTGTGTGGTTGGTGCCCAATGTGGGTAAAATCATTGAAAGGCAGGGGTCAGGGGCCCTGGATCGGGCCCAGAGCCACCGAAATGTACAATATTAATATATTTCACAATTCCCCAGCTGCTAATTAACTCAGAAACAAACACACACTCGCACACATGTGTGTGTATATTTATATAGAAAGAGGGAGATATATGCATGTCAACCCGACCCACATATGTTTGAGTGGTGGGTCAAAAGGGTCCTGTGGCCGTGCGTGCAATTTAAATAATGAAGACATTTTATTAATTCAAGAAATTCAACTCGCCACGCACACACACACTAATACACTAAAACCCAAACACACACACACAGACATGGAGGAGCAATTACAGTGGCAACCCGACATTAAGCAACCACCCCAACCACCATCCCAACAAAACCGAAAAACCACCCATCCCCACCCAAAAACAATCCACCAAAAAGACTCGCACAAAAACTTGCCAAGCATTTTGGGGTTAGGGTCAGGAGCGGTATGAAAGACACCCCCCAACCCCATCCATCCGACCACCCACTCTACTCTATTCTTTGCACCACCAGCTGTTAGCTGGTGCGTTTCCCATTTCCTCGTTGCCCATTTTCCTCAGTTTCCTGGCTTGGTTTTTAGTGCATAGTGAAAAACAAAACATTTGCTAATCATATGAAGCTACCCTAAGCCGGCTCTTTGTATCAACACTGAGAGAAAGGGGGACTTAAAAGGTTAAAAATATGATTTTTTGAAAATAGTTTGTTAATTATATATTTAAGTGATTTTTATAAATTTTACCTTTAAAGAAATTCAGTTTAAATTTAAATATAGATGAAAATTTTATGAAAACTTATAAATTGTGGTATTAAAACTACAGTGACGAATGTAAAGCAAAGTTTAAAAAAATCTTAAAAGTAAAAAAATATATTTATCTAGAAATTGGTTAATTTGTTGAATATGGAAGTGCTTTTAATAATCCGAAACGTGCGGGAAAATTAGTTGGTATTTTAATTGTAAATTATAATTATACATTATTTGATAAACGTTAAAGTTTCAGTGACGGATGTAATTCTAATTCTATTTTGTATATTAAAATATAAGATATAGTTTTCTGTAAAGTATGTGTTTAATTTTAAAATTATTAGTAGCATTTTAAGTTTTAAAAGACTCCAATAGACTAAATAAAAGCATTTTGATTAGATAAAATAGCACTGACTAATAAACATTAAAATCGACAAAGATTTTATGGATTTGGGAACGAAAAAAAAAATTGTTTAGCCTAAAAGCTGCAAGCCTACAATTTATAGGGAAAAAACAATATAAAACTCAACAAATTTCTTTGAACTATCAAAATTTATTTTGTTTTAGTGACGAAAAAAATTTAAAGAGATAATTGGTTACCTTTTTCAATAATTTACAAACTTTAAAAATCCACTAAGTCATATAAAGCCTTTAAATTCTTTAAAAAAAGCTTCCAAAATTGTAAGAAAGAAGCCTTTTCTCAAAAAAAATATAAAAACTATAGAGAATTTGTTGCAGTGTAAGCATCCACCTTTCAGCAATTAACAACGCAGTGCGACACAGGCGGCGACGACAAGCCAACACTTGAGCCATAAAGCAGCCCAACACGACCCCCGTAACGACCCCGAAGAACCCGAGAACCCATCCACCCCACTCTCTCCCACTCCCCCCAAAAAAAGAAGAAGAAATCCGGAAGCAGAAAGGGCTCAGGGAAGTGGACGGACGCCACAGCCTTTTCAGAGAGCGACCAGCGCTTTGGCACTTCCCATATCTCATGTTAATGAAATCGTAACTCTTCGTGCGCCTCGTGTCCGTTTTTTGTGTTCTGTCCTCCTGTCCTGCTCCTGGTCCTGGTCCTGGTCCTGCTCCTGGTTCTGTGTACTATGTGTCCTTTCATTCCACCAAACAAAATAATAAAAATACAAGAAACAAAAAAAAAAAGGAAAAGGCACACTGGGAACCCCCAAAAAGGAGCCGAAAGGATGTTGGATCACATAGTCGAGTGATTAACGCTCTGGGAGAACTCCGCACGACTTCACGGACAATGGGAATTGGAATTTGAGAGGAGGACCTGACCTGCTCAGGATGTGAAGAAAAAGAATAAATAAAATAAGTCCAAAGCTAGAGACTAAAATATAGAAGAAGATTAAAAAAGAAACCACTAGTCATCGATTAACTAAAATAGAGTTGCAAAAGTTAAGAAAACTTAATCAGAAAATATTTAGAAAATAAATAAGTACATTATCTTATAGAAAATTTTAAAAAATGTGTATAATTTTAATAGATTTTTGGAAGAGCTTATTTTTAAGATTTATTGTAAAATAATTAGCTATAATTTTGGAAAATTAAGTAAAATTTTTGATAATATTTTACTATTTTGATGTTTTGGGATATCTTATCTTCTGTAAAGTACCTATACCCGGTACTCTTATATTATCAATAATTATTCCCTCTTTTTTTTTTGAAAGATTTCAAACATTTATATGTTTTAATCATAGCTCTAAGACCTAACTTATTCTTTTTAATGAACATATTTATTGAAATCTAAGCAAAATATTCTTTAAGACAATGAAAGTTACTGAAAAAAAAATATAACAATACCGGGTATCAAATTATTTATCAGTACCTCTTTTCTTACTTTAGTTTCTTCTACTTCATAATAGTACCGGGTATCATAGTATTATTTAGTACCTTTCTTCTTACTTTAGTTTCTTTCAGATACTCATAAATTTAAGAGCTTGATACTTAAATTTATGTTAAAACCTTTAAAAAACCAGAAAATATTATAGAGGATAAATATTTTAACTACAAATAATTAAATATATATAATTTTTTTTTATTTCGTCCTAATTTTTTTTTAAATTTCTTTAAAGTTCTCCAAATGAACTCTGTCTAGTAATATAGAGGGAAAAAAATGCTAATTAATACAGTCAACCGCAATTGCAACTTCCTTCTGGCCAAGTGCACGTATGTTTAAGCCACCATTCACCCAGTCCCCCTTTTTGGTAGTCATACCCCCTTCGGGCATCCTGGAGTCACGTGTGACAGCGAGGGTCGTTCGGTGACAAAGGGCAACTAATTTAGTTTAATGGGCGTCGTGCGCGACTTTGTTGCCCACCAGCCGCAGAATTTCTTGCGGCCAACACTTGTCCCTTTTCCCCCGCCCCCCTGGGTTGGCCTTCAGGCAAGGGGGGTGTGTTGCTATGTGGGTGGTGGGGTTATGGGTGGGTGAGGGTGCTGGTACTGGTGCTGGTCCACCCTTACGCATTCTCATTAAGCATTTTTAGTCGAGCTTAGCGAGCCGTTTGTTTGCACTGTCAACTCTCCAACTTCGGTTCGAAGCACTGAAAGAAAAATGCTTAAACTTGAAAGCATTGTTAATAAAAATAATAATATATTAAAGATAAAGTCTTTATTTAAAACCAGACTATTTTACATCAAAATAAATAATAACTATTATAACTATTGAATTAAATACCTATTTTATATAATAATGTACATATTTATAATATAAGAAATTAGTATTTTGATTCTTTATTTAAAAACACATTTTTATTTTTTTTAATACAATTAATTTGCAAAAAAAAAAAATAAAAAAATGCAAATTCATAATAGTAATTTTTTTTGTTTTTATTAATTTTAGTTCTAACAACTGTTTTAATTTATTGATCATAATTTAGAACTTAGAAATATTAGTTTTTAATCATCAAAAGTTCTAAAATTATATTTTAAATCATAATACCGAGAATTTAAGGTTTTGTTTTTATTGAAAGTTCTAACTATTTTGAGTTTGAAATTTATTAAATTATTTTTAAAAAGTTTTTATTTTTACTTTATCATTCAATGATAAATCAATGATAAAAGTCTTTATAATTTTTATATATTCGTAGTTGTTCAAATTTAGATATTTTTAAGGACTATAAATTATATTAATTCAATTCTCTATATTTATTAACTTCTTTTTTTTTTTTTCATTAAAAAAAATATATATTTTTGGAGCAAAATTGTAAAAATTTGAAAAGACTTGCAATTTTTTATACATTTTAACGAATTGTTTAAAAATAATCACCTTCTATTTAATTAAAAAAACTGCTCAAATTACATCCCCTTTATTTTTTTTCAGTGTAAAACCGTGACAACTCCGGTAGCGACTTGCCATAAATTAACACACACGAGTGGTGGTGGTGATGGTGGAGGTGTAGGTGGAGCGGGGGGTCGTTCTACCGTGCGGTGGTGGTGCAAGTCGAGTGGCGAATAGCGGTACTTTGGTGGGGCGGGGGTGGGGTGCTGGCCAACTGGAACTCAGAACTGGAAACATTTTCATTTCACTTTTGTTTGTTTGATTTTTGGCTTTTTGCAGTTGGCTGACAGTTGTTCCGGTTTTCCTTTTTTGGTCTCTGGTCTATGGTGCTGGTCCTGGTCCTGTCCCTGGTCCTTGTTCCAGGACTCGGCAAGCAGGTCCTGGTCAAATTAAAAATGTTTTTGCCCGCTTATTTGTATTTGTCTTTCGACTTTGATGTCAAAAAAGAAAACTCTTGTTTTTTTTTATTTTTCAATACATTTTTATTAATTTTTTTTGTTGTTTGTTTTTTGTGTTTAACTTTGTGTGTGTGTGTATGTGTTTTTGTTTGTTTTTTGCATTTAATTGCTCAAACTATTAAAAATATCCACAGCTAATAAATATAGCGAAAAAAAAACAAAAAAAAATAATAATAATTAAGAGAGAAATACATTTAAAAGTAGAATTTACACACACAATTTTGTTGTTTTTTTTTTCTTAAAAGATGTATGTTTGTTTATCAAAATATAATGCTTAATTCTATGAAAAAAAATGCATGTATACATATATATGTATATATATTTATTTTTAATTTTTTTTTTCTGGTATATAACTAAAGCTATTTCTATATATTAATTAAATATGTATGCGTATCTTTAGTTAGGCTACCAACTAGGATAATTAGACCGTTATACACTTAGAAGTACACTTAGCACAATTGAACTGACGAATTGAATACAATTTTTTTCCCATTTCTTTAAGCAGAATATTCGATTTTTAATTAAAATTCCCCCAAAAGAGCATATGTATGTAGGTTCTCTTAAGCGCCAAAGAAACACCTGAAAGAGCATTTGCCAAAAATATGCTCTCCCACCGCCCGCTGCACGTGCGCTGCTTGCACTTTTTTTGCACTCTCTCTCCCCCACACTCTGTCGCCTACGCTTGCCCGGATCGGTTCAGTTTTTTTCAACCCTTGCCGTCCGCCGTTTACCGTTTGTTTTGTTAATCAGTGATTAAAATCAAGTTTTAAAGTTAGTTTTGATTAAAAATAGTGGTGTTTAAGTTTGAAATTTAGTGAAATATGCTTATAGAAGTGTTTGTGTGTGTTTGTGGTGAAAAAAAAATGAAAAAGTTGGCAAAAAAAGTGAAAAATCTTTCAGAAATAGAAGCATCTTCTTCTTAATTAGTTAATATTATTAATTTATTGTTTAAATCGTGTTTTATTAAGTTAATTCATGACGGTTTCGCGTACCGCGTGTTCGTTCGCGTACCCAAGCGTAGGCGGCGCAAAGAACAGTTAGAATTTGCTTCCAAGAGCGAAAGGTAGTGGGAGGTCAGAATGCGTGGAGCAAGGAGAGCATAAAACGGCACTGCTCCTCCCTTTCCATTGATGCTTGGCCCTCTACATGACATGTAAAAAACGTGTACTTGGCATGTAAGTTACATTGTTTTTTACACTCTTGGGATTAGGTTTTTAAAAAAATTAAATCAAATATATCTGCCAGGACATTTAATATATATGTATGTACTTCTTATTTCATAATTCTTTTTTTCTGGCATATGGGCGTTTTGAGATGTGTGGGCGTGTCATAAGTTAAGGCGACTGTCAAATTCTAGCTTCTATTTTTAATATTTTTGTTTTTTTGTTTAACTCTCTATTAAAATTAGCTTCAGCTTTAAATTAGCTTATATAATTACTAATTAATAAAAAAAAAAAAATTTAAGAGAAATCGATTAATTTTTTTTTTTTTTTGGCGATTTCTCGACTTAAATACTATCAGGTACTTTGGCATATTTTCGTTTTTTTTTTCTTCTCTTATTTTTTTTTTGCTTAAAATTAATAAAAATCATTCAACTGAATGTCTTTACGGCTGTATACATATAAATATATGATTTTTTTTTTTAACATTTAGCAAATATACTATATATCCATGTATACATAATTGAATTTTTTGTTGTTTATTTTTCTTTATTTTTTTTGATGGTTTTTATGGTTAAAGTTTAAAGGGAAAAATAAAGAAAAAGTTGATTACTGAGTAAGCAAAAAAGTATTGCATGAAAGAATGCATGAAAATACTGATTACAAAGTAAGCAGCTTAAAATTTTTAAGTTTTTAAAAGAAAAAAAAATGCAAGAAAATTCTGAAAATTGAAATATTAAAAGAATATTATTTTTCTCTAAAAACTCTCCATAAAAACTCTCTTTTTCTTATTTTTTTTTAAGGCGGTTCTCTTAACAAGCAGCAAACTGTCTAATATTTTTGTTGTTTTTTTTTTTAATTGTTTTGTTGTAAATACTTAACACTCATTCTTTGAAGCTTAGTCTCTTTTTCTAAAAACTCGTAATTAGCCTAAAAAAAAAATATATCTAAATCTAAAGACTGACGATGAAAAATTTAAAAATAAATCGTTGCTAAGTTTTTTTTTCTTAAAACTAATTTTTTTTTAAATTTATTTTTTTTTAATCAGATGTGTGAGCTAAAATCCTAAACTTAAGCAATTCTATCTTCGATTTTTTGGTAGCAGAAAGAAGTGTTTTATTTTTTTAAGTGTATTTTTGCACCAACCCCCAGCCTTCAAGTGATATCCAAGCCTTCGAGTCCTTTGAGATCAGTCTTAGAGTGGCTTTTTTTTTTTTTTTTAGAAACTCCCAAGGGGGTGGTGCAAATAGGAGCGGGGGTGGGGGGGTGGTTTAAACGGCAGTGGGTGGTGGCAACAGGGAGGAGTTGGATGACCTCAGATATGGATTACCATAGATGGCGCTATAGCGGGGATCCACACTCAGAGCCATGGAACTGGGCACCACGACATGGGTGGTGGTGGCGGTGGTGCTCTGATTGCTGCAACTGCCATTCGGCGAGGAGCTAACCACCGAGGCGGTGGTGGACTGGAGGCTGGGCAGGCCGTTCTCCTGCCGGATCTCCCGCGAGCCGATGATGCTGCCGGTTAAACTGCCGCCACTGCTGTTCGTGAGGAAGGTCATCGGCAAGGTCTGGGTGTGGTGCTGATGTTGTTGCTGTTGCTGTTGTTGTTGCACCACCAACTGGTTCTGGTGGTTGTTCTGCAGGATGGTGGAGCTGCCATTGGATTTCGTCGAGCAGGTCGTCAAGTATTGGGGTGGGGGACTGTAGTGGGTGCTATAGTCCCCATAGGGCACATATCCCCCCGATATGTCCACCTTCAAGTCACTGTAGTTGGAGGTCCGATCGCCGGGCTCCAGCTTGCAGCTGACGCCTCCGTTCTTGGTGATCTGGTGCTCGCTGATGACGTCGGCAGGTGGCAGCTTGGTGCGCTTCTTGCAGCGGATGTAGACCACGATGAGGATGGTGAGGACGAGGAGCAGAGCCACCACCGAAACGCCGCCCACGATGGTCATTAGCAGGGAGACGCTCTCTGGAAGAATTGAGAAAAATTGCAGGAAGAATAGGGTTATTAAGGGAAGTTTTTAAAAAAATAATCAAGGAAATTGGTGTTTTTTAGTGAAAAAAATTATCAAAAAAAAGTTTAGAGAAAATTTTTCGAGAATTTCTTGAAAGAAATTGAAAAAATGGGGTTATTGGGGAAAGTCTTAGGAAAAAGAATCAATAAAATCAGTTAAAGTTAGTAGTTATAGGTATAATACAGTTAAAAAATGTGTTATAATACATTTCAGCAAGTTCTATAGAGAATTTCTGGATAGAGATTGGAAGTTTGGGGTTTTCAAGAGAATTTTTCGAGGAATAATCTGAACCATCAGTAGTGCCGGGTATTGTATAGTCAAAAAATGTATCTAACATATTTTTAGGAAAATTTATCGAGAATTTAAAGATATAGTAAGGAAGATTGGGGTTAATAGGAGAAGTATTTTAAAAATTATTGGTAGAATCAGTTAAAATCGTAGTACCGGGTCTAATACAGTTAAAAAATCTATTATAACAAATTTAAAAAAAAATTCATTGAGAAGTTCTAGATAGAACTTGAATGATTGGGGTTATATAGCGAAGTCTTTGAGATATATTAGGGAAAATCATTAAAAATCAGTAGAAACGGGCACTATAGAGTGAAAAAATATATCAGAAAAAATTTTTACAAGATTAATAGAGGATTACTATATAAAGATTAAATAATTGCGGTTATTAGGACAAGTCTTTGATCAATAATCAGTAAAATCAGTAGTACCAAGTATTATATAGTGAAAAAATATACCAAAAAAAAATTTAAGCAAGATTTATAGAGAATTTCTAGATATAGGATGGTCCTAAAAGAGTTTTAAGATTCATATCTTATAGGAATATCATATATTTGATATTTATATCCTATCCTTTCTAAAAAAAATAATAAAAAATATATATAAAAAATAGTTGAAGACTCACTTTTAGCTTGAAGTTGAATTTCCGCCACATCGTTGCCATAGTCATTGACCACTGTACAGTTGTACTTGCCATAGTGGTACGCCTGACTGTCCCTGATGATGAGAGTGCTCTTGACACCCCCCGGCACAGCATCCACCAGTATGGAATAGTCATGACCCGATTCTGAGCTTATCTCCTGACCATTAAATGTCCACGAGACATGCCTAGCTCTGGGCACACTGCTAGCGAAACACTCGATCCTGGCGGTATCCCCCACCAGACCGTACTGGGATCTGGATGAACTGATGGCGGGAGAGCCCTTCAGATAGACATAGGCATCGGCTGATATTTCGGCATAACCGGCCACATTGGCTTTGCAATAATAGCGGCCAGCTGTCTCGTTGCTGACACTGAAGGTGAGATTGGTGCTGGTGCCGACGACCCGGTCACTGGGATGTTGGATCCAAACGATCTCGGCGGGGGGATTGCTGTCCACCTCACAGTTGAGGGAGACGACAGAGCCGACATCGGCTTCCATGGACTGAGGACGTTGCCGGAAACTGGGGGCATCTAGAAAGTGGGGTGGGGGTTTTTGGGAAGAGAAAATAATAATTGTATTAAATAATATAATGGTAGGTTACTTTTTTTTTATTATTATTTATTTTATTTATTTAAAAATTTAATATTCTTGAAACTCACAGCTTATATCCAAAGTCTCGCTATCCTCGCTCTTGCCCACGGAATTCTGTACCTCGCACTTGACAATGGCATCATGGAATTTTCGCGTTACATTGCGTATCACCTGTGGTACAGATACAAAGATACTCAGATACAGATACAAATAGAGGTAAGATAAATAGAAATATAGAGATAATTGTGGGAACGCTTGGCCTTTCCGGTGGCCAAGCTAACTGGTTCCCAATAATTGCAAACATTATACAACATCCCAGTAGTAATAGTTGCTCTAATTATGCGCCAAGTTGGAATGTGGACCAGTTTTCCAAGATAGAGTAGAGAGTATAGTGGAGGGGGGGTACTCACCATTTCAGTCTTTTGGCCGCCATTGATCGGTTCGTCGTTGATGAACCAACGGTAACGTACATCACCGGGATTCGCATCTGCCCGGCACTCTAAACGCACCTGCGAATGCTCCACAATCCGAGATCCCCCCATGGTGGTGGAGGAGGATGTGGTACTGGTACTGGTACTGGTGGAAGAGACACCTGCTCCTCCGGGATGCAAGCCAATAACATTAACCTTTACCTTGGGGGCATATTTAACCTAAAAATAAAATAGAAAAAATATTTAAAAAATATATTTCCAAGATAGATCCTTAAAAAAAGGTCCTTAGAAGGTCCTTAAGTTCTTAACCCTTAAAAATGCATAATTCTTAGACCCCCTTTGGGGGAATGCATTCCTTTTTCCCTCCTAAGGGATTTGTCCTTGTCCTGTTCCTCATCGAAACTAAGCCAATGACAGGTCCTTGGTTGTAGGTCCTTGGTCCTTGGGTTCTTCTCTCTTCACTTTCACACCAAAACCAAAAAAAATAAAAAAACCAACTTCAGCCGGGCCTTCCTTTATGTCGAAGCTTGAATTAGCCCGTCAGTGTCATGCCATGTCCGGCACAAAAGTCCATTCACTAAAATCCCTGCCCTGCCCATCGTCCCTGGGCAGCGCCACTGGGACGCCAGCGCCACTCTTCACCCCCCCCTTATCCCTCAATGGACTTCCGCATCACGTAAAATTGATAGTAGGCTCTCTCTTTCATGCATACGTTAGATAAGGCAGCCGCAGGACAAGCCATGCACTCAAAGAAATTTATATCTATTTTTTCTTAAAGGGGGATATTTTTTAGGAAAACAATTTAAGCTTTCCATGTTGAGGTTCTAGTTCGATCTAGAGCTAATATATATATTTTTTTAAGAAAATTTTTATTTTTTCTAACTATAATTTAGATGCAATGAAATCACAAGAATAAACTTTAAAAATAAAAAAAAAATCCAAGTATGAGTTTAAGTTTAAAATTTATGAAAAATTCCAATTTTTTTGTTTCTTAGATTTGTATTTTATTTATTTTTATTTAATTTTTTTTATTTACTTTTTTTCATAATTTTTAAACATATATTTTTTTTTTTTAATTAAATTTTTTTTAACAATTTTTTTTATTTTTTTTTAATTTTAGTTCTTTTATTTAATTTTTTTTTTATATTTATTGTTTTATAGTTCTTTTATTTAATTTTATTTATGGTTGTTTTTTTATATTTATTTATTTTTTTCTATAAAGGCATAAGTAATATAATTTTTCTCAGTGTGACAATGCAGAATGCGCATTGATAGAAAGAAGAAAGGGTTAGCCATAGCCCTAGGGGGTAGGCTCTAGCTAGGCTTCCCCTCCCCTCTGAACTACATACATATGAACTATAAAAGGGGGGGCCAACACTCACCTCGACACGTATTTTCACAGAGCGGTAAGTGCGGTCCGCCGTATTCTGTGCCTGGCACGTAAAGTTGGTGTTGTGATGCTCCTTTTTGGGGGTCAACCGTAGAACGGACTTGGCCGTATAGCGACGCAGATCCGGAAGCGGAATCACCGTATACTCAATGTTATCCGTGAGAACGTTGCCGAGGCCATCAATCCAGGTAATCTGATGGATGAGAGATGGTTGAGAGTTGAGTGAGGGGGAGTTAGTGGGGGGGCTTTAGTATGCAGAGTATGAGATGTCTGGTTACGGCGGATTGCGGTTCATTGTTTGTTCGATTAGCCGGGCTAACAGGCTAACTGGTTTTTGGCCAACAGACTGGCGGGGATTTTTCCAAAAAAAAAAGGAGTATTCTTTCGAAAAAGTATATTTTTTTTTGAGGAGATACAAGAGAAGTACACTGCGAAGAATTTTTTTAAAGGTTCTCTATGAAAAATAGTACTTTTTCAAAGAAGTAAACTTCAAATATATTTTTTTTTAATTTTAAATATATTTTTTTAAGTGTAGTTTATGTAAACTCACCTCGGCAGCTGGCTTTCCGCCCACCGAAACACATTCGATCTCCACTTTCCGATCCTCCGTAGCATAAATGACATCTCCCTGGGTGATTTTCGGTGCTTCCGGCGGAACTAGAACCGTTAGAACGGCAAAGGTCGAACGGATGGGTGGCTGACCCTCTGGTCCGGGACTGACCTGGCACTGGTACCGGGCATCATCGTCCAACATCACCGGATAGATGTCCAGCGAGTAGTCGCCCTCCTCATCGCTGCCCACCATGGCGTATCGTTCGAAACCGCTCAGATCCCGGGAGGTGCCCAGTCCGAAGTCGTCCTTGGTCCACTGGAGGGTGCCCTGTTTGTTGATCACCCGGCAGGGTAGTGTGACCCTGGCACCGACCACGGCGGTCTGGTCCTGGGGCTGCATGGCGAACCTCTGGTTTTGGTAGCTGGTGTAGGGTGAGGTCTTGGCGAAGCTGACAACTGTGGCCAGCAGCAGAAGCTGTGGCAACACTTCCCCCAAACCCATCATAATGGATCTGCAAAAAAAAAGAAGAAATATTTTAAAGTTAATGCTTAAAAGCCAATGAAGCTAAAAAAAAATAAAAAAAAATTAGCGGAACAACCCTGATTAGATATCTTGGTTTTCGATTTTTTCGAAAACCTTGAGCAGGCGCCAAAAATATACAAAGACATCACCAAAAAAATTGTCTTTTCTTTATGCTCACATATGTTTCTATTTATTTATTTATTTGTTTCTTGTTTCTTCTGTCTGTCTGTCTTTTTTTATATTTTTTTTTATACCCTTTTGTTAAGCTTTGTTGCATTATTATTTTTTTTTTTTTGTATCGTTTTGTTGAACAAATTTTATTTGTAAGGAGGGTTTGGCTGCAAAGGCAACAATTGTATTTAGCTTCAGGGTCTTATTACTTATTATTGTTCGTATTATTGTATGTTTTTTGTATTTTGCTGTTAGCGCGCTTGTCTTGTTTTATTTTTTTTCTTGTGTTTTTTTATTCGCATTTTTTTTACGGTTTTATTCATGTTTTTCCAAGTGCAGACAGTCCCAAAAAAAATGAGAAAAAAGAGTACGTGAGCTTTAAAAATGAGTTATATTAAAATTAGTCAAAGGGGGAGAGCCACAAAATAAAGCCAAAAATATTTTTAAAAAAATTTAAAAGGCTTGAAAAATATAAGCAAGAAAATGCATTAAAAAAATTGCATAAAAAACGTTTAAAAAAAATCTCATATCTTATTACATAGTTTCTTTAATATACCCCCTTATCACCTTTTTTTTTTTTTTAGAATTTCCTTAATAAATTCTCTTCTCTAAGTACCTAAGCTACCTCTTTCGATTTTTCTTATTTTCTTCGGATTTTCCACCTCGTTTTACAGGTGCCTTGTGTCTTGGAATTTTCTCACGCATTTTTTTTTTTCTCCTCCTCTCTATAATAGTATAGTACTCTACAAAGTTTAGGGTTTTCTTTGGGTTTTCAAGACAGACTTCCGTCTGTCTAATTTCGTTTTCTTGTATTTCTAGTTACTTGTCGCTATTATTTGTTTTTATTGCATTTATACGGAAATTGGCGCCTTTCTCATACACACACACACTTGGAACCCCAAAATGATATAATATAATAGTAGAGAAGAAGAAATCCATAAAAGAAAAAAAATGAAATGAAAATAACCCCAAAAAGATGCAAACGGAGGCAAAAGATTAGCGAGCTTCCGTTGAAAACGAAAAAAAAAAACCGGAAGGGTCGAAAATTACTCAAAATTAGTGTTGAAATCTCTGGGAGTCTGTGGGAGAAACGAAAAATCTGAAAAATCTCGAAATCTTTAAATAAAATCATAGGTTACTTCCATTCCAACTTCCAATCTCAAAGACGATAATTTGAAATGCTGCGTTTGCCAAGCCAATTAAAACCGATTTTTGGACACGCTCATCGACCAAAAAAAAAAGGGTTTCCTCTTTATGGTCCATAAAGATTGGGTTTCAACAGTTTTTAGTATTTTTGTTTTTTTTTTAGAAGTGTTGATTACTTTTACCTATCAATAGCAGAACTTTTTGGGTTTAATGGGGTTTTGGGCATAGGATTTATGGTGGAACTTGATTTTATGACTAAAGTCAGAGAGAAGAGGGCTGATTAATTGGATTAGATACAAATGGATTTGAGTATTGGACATATTTAAGTTTTCGAACTTCATTTAAAGGTGATTAGAAAAGAAAAAGTGAAAAAAGGGAAGAGAAATGGTTGTAAGGAGGGGTTTGAAATAGTAGTTTTTTGTTGGGAAGTGAATATTAAATAAATATATATAAAAAAATATAAGAAAAAAATTAGAGAAAAAAAATAGTTTTAGGAGTTTTGAACTCAAGGATCTTTGGAGGATCTTTAAGTCTTTTTTCTTTTAAAAAAAAAGTTTAAAAAAAAAGGTAATTAAAGGGTTTCAAATAGTATTTGTTGTTAGGATATAAATATTTAATTATTGTATGAAAATATATAAATTAAAAAGAGAAAAAAAAACAAATATTAATTTTTTCCTTGTTTCCTTCGGAGTTTCGAACTCGAAGCTGTAGGCTCAAAAAATGCTAAAAATACTTATTCTTTCTAAAAAAAAAACCTCCTTTCTTTTTGGTTTCTTTTTTTTTTTTTTCTTTTTTATTTAATTTATTATCTCTCCCCTTATTACCTTGTCAGTGTCTGCCTATCGAGGACATGTCTGTCATATATGGAAATTTGTGGGAGAAGAAGTTGGCTTACTTTTTTTTTCCTTTTTTTTTTTGAACAATACAAATCACTTCACTCATTGGCCATGTCCAAGACTTAACAGTAGCAGCTGCAACTTTGGCTAGAAAGTCAAGTTGGGGCCCTCTCTCTCCTACTCTCCTATTCTCTGGCTATTTTCTGTTTCCTTCTTGGCCGGAAAAACTAAAGCTCAAGTTGCCCCACCTGCCCCAAAAACGAAGAAAGAAAAAAAACTTTTTCGCAAAGCCAGAGTGTTCAATATAAATTTTTCAAAGTTATTTGTACCAGGTGGGCCTTTCTTTATTGATTTATGAGAGCCACTTCAACGTGCTTAGAAGGAGCTAAAAGGCACTGAGAAAAATCAGTAGTAGACTTGAAGACTTTGAAAATTAATTTTAAAAGAAATGCTTTAAGTTGATAAAGTTTCTTCTATTTTTTTTTTAATTTTTTAATTTTTTTTTTGTGTATAAAAGGGGAGTGGCTGGGTAGGCAGTTAAACTGTAAATGACAAAAGTCTCGTCTTGCGAAGGAAGCCGCACATCCGCTGCAGCTTGCATCTAATAACCGAAGCGAACCAAACACTGGCCCGGCCCGGCGATAATAATGCGATCGGGGGAAACTGGTTTACCTTTATAGAGTAGAAGTACACTGGCCAGCAGGTAAATAATTAATGCTGTCAGTGATGAGAATTGATTTTGAAAGAAGGAGATACTATAAAAAATAAAAGAAACTACTAGTTTTCTTATATTTTAAAAACTATACTATGCTCTCAAAAGATATAGATAGTTTTTAGATATATAGATATATGTACATATTCTCTTTACTTCTCAAACTATACGATCAAAGGTTATAGATAGTTTTAATCGATATTATAGTAGATTTATTATATGAAGATATACAGATATCTTTAAGATTTAGGATCTATTATAGAAAAGTGCATAAAAATCTCTGATATTTTATTGAATTTTAGGCCTTTCTTTTTTAAATCCTTTATGAAAAACAATATTTTTTTTATTAGATTTAATTATTTTATTCATTTTTTATTTTCTTTATTTATTTTAATTTTTAAATCTGTTTCCCTTTTCGTGACACGAGCTTTTTTTTTGTGGCAATGAAGACAACTTGATCTCGGGCGTTGCCTTAGCACCTGTTTCCCCGATTCCAGTTGCACTATAAATATCACAACAGATGCTCGGTTTGTGGCATTAAAGGATGCTGCTCGATGTGGCATATTGGATGCTGGGGATAAATGCAGCTGCATCTTGTGGTCAACAAAACAGGGGCGTAGGCCAAGAAGAGGAAGGAGGGGGCCTCTCTTAAAGAAAAAAATAAAAGGCAGCTGCAGAAAGGAAGCCCGTTGGCTGGGGGAAGTGACTGCCAACTACCAACTTTGCAACTTGCAACTGACTGACAAAACAGGCCACAATATCCCCTTCGATAGAAAGCCCCCCAACCATACTCCTCTACCCTACCTCTACCCTTCCTGCCCCAATGATACCCCAATATGTAGTAACCCCTGTATCGAATGGATTGGTTTGGAGTCGAGTGTGTTCAGAGAGTGCCCCAAGACGAGATTTATGTGTGATAAGCGTCGCCTGAAAATAATTACTGCATCTGAGTATCTGAGTATCGTGGTATGGGTGTATCTGAGGAGTATCTTTGTATCTGAGAGTATAAAAATTGAAAACTGGAGCGGAAAACGTTAGCAGCGGAAATGTTTTGCTGACATGGATTGGCAGCATGGGGTTAAGAGATGAGAAGAGGATCAAGTAGAGGGTTAAGATTGAGAAGACTTCCATATCCTTTAGAAAAAACTATCAGGATATAAAATAAAAATCAAATAAAATCCCTCGAATCACCCAAAACTTTCACTTTAAGTGAAAAAGGTGTCCCCGTTGATCTGGAAGTTTTTTTCTGAAGAAAAACAAGTCGGGACTGGGAAAAACTCAACTTGAACTGTCAGTTAAAGTGTCGAGACTGTACTTGAAAGCCGCACTGAGGCCATCTCTCTCGCACACTTACACACACTCCTTACACACTCATATGGAAGTGCCCTTAGGGACCGGTTAACCCTTTACCAAAAATCCAAAAAAATAAAGAGAAAGTCGTAAGAAGAAAAAAAAAAGCTTTGGCCAAAAAGGATGGCTACTTAAAGGACTTTTGCTGACAAAATGGAAAAGGCAACAAACAGAAAGAGACAGAGAGAGAGAGAGGGAGAGTGAGATGGGTAGCTGAAAAAAAGGCCTAAAGGATATTGGTCGAAGGTCCAGAGTTCAGCAAAGATTAGGACAATTAAAAAAAGGGAATGCTTAACAATTAAAATCAATTTGTGCGTGTGTCCTGTTTCCTCTCAGTCTTCCTCTCTCTTTCTCTCATACTATAGCCATCTCTTTCGAAATCCTGTTGACAATTTGTTTGCTCGAACAAATCAAGTAAAAGCAGCAACGGCTAAGTGGCAAAAGGAGCCGAAACCCAGGACCAAAGTCAAAGTCAAAAGGATGAGGTCTGGCCTGGCTATTCAATTTGCTATTCTCTTCTCTCTCTTTCTAGTCCTTTGTCTGACCATCTCTGATTAGGAGACAAATGTGTGTCCTGGGGACACAAAAAGAAATCCCAAAATGGAGCACCAGAGCACCATCTCTCTCCGGGTCCCATTTCCAGTGTCAATAAAAAAAAAGGCAACGGACAAAAAATAAACTTAAATCGCCTATTAATGGCCCACACAAACACACACACACACATTCACATTTAAGGACTCTTATGGCCAGTTCCCGTATCGGCCAAGTCAGCAAAAGTTAAGGGAACAGTTAACTGAAAGCCAAAAGGGTCATCTTTCATTCTTAAAAAGGGAGATTTGATAATTATCGAAATGGTTAGGAATTGGATTTGGAAGAAAAGTAAAGGTGGAACAGTTTTTCAAAAAGGGTTTCTGATTTAATAAAGGGTATTGGGAATCTTGTAATGAGGTGGTTTTATAATAAATATCGACTTTATCGATATATTATCGATTATTTAGATTAATTTTTATAGAAAACAACCTAAAAACTGGCAAAGAAATTTAATTTCTTATGAACAGAGTTTTAGGAGTTTCTTGACAACTTTATTTATTTATTATAAAATAGATAAAACCTCGTATTTTTATTAAAATAATCGAACTTTTATCGGAATATTATTAAAAATTTTAAAGAAATTTTCTTTTAAAAAATTAGAAGATGTTATACTCTTCTGATACTTATTTTCTACAAACTGGGAGGCCTTAGAGATAAACACAAAAAAACATTCTCATTAATATTCATTAAACTTATAGCTTAATTAAAGCTACAGAGTTTTTTTCTTATAAGAATCGTTTATAAAAAAAAAAACGAGCCCCGACACACTCTAATGAAATAAAGCCTCTCTCTCTCCTTTGGGATTTCATAACTTTAATCGAATCAGGCATGGCTCGGAACTCAACAAGTCCGGCTTTAATATGAATATAAAGCAAAACTGCAAGCTCTGCCCGGGCCGAAAGAACGTAGAACGGGTTAAGTTATTCATCAATTCTGCAGGCTCCGAAAGCAAACTTGTTAGCCGTGTATAATCACAGAGCATCTGGGATCGATATCTACCTCTCATTAGCATAATTCTAACATAATTCCTGACATGGGCCGTTCGGGCATAAAATTATGAAACGAAATCATCCAGAGACTCTAGATAACTTTTTAAAATAATAAGAGAAGAAGTATACAAAGTATATATGTAGATATAGATATATATATGTATATATAGCAGATCGAATGAAAGTTGCTTGGCCACATCGAAGCAGAATTTCAATCAGTAAATTGAACACCTGAAACTTAACTGATTTCGTGGTTGGTTTTTTTTTGGTAGAAGACCATCAGCGGCAGCAAAACAAGTTAAAGTCGAGCAGCAGGAAATTAAGCCAGGCCGACAAAAAAAAAAAAATAAGAAAAAGAAAAAGAAACACAAGACAGTGCAACAATGACAAGACGATGGGGAGCCCAAAAATCGAAAAAAAAAAAACAAAATAAAATTTCGATTGGAAGATCGAGAGACCAGAGACCAGCTAGCTTCTCCACTTTACGTTTTAGCATTTTTTTCAAATTCATGTTTATGGTTTTGTATTACAAGCTCGATCGACGACGACGATGGCGACCAGGTTAGGCTGGTGGGGGATTTGGCTTTGTGGTGTATAACTTTAAGCCTTATTAACATATTTTATGCTCCATTCGAGTTCCATTCGAGCCAAGTTCGCCCACACACCGACATTTCTTGTCTGTCTCCTCTTTTATTATTATTTTTTTCGTGTGGGCCGGCCACATTGACATAGATCGATCCAATCCCCACAGAAAACCCACAAAACCCCCGAAGTCTATTGCGAGAGAGAAATATGATTTCGAAAGAGTATACTTGACCAACTTCTCTATATTTATTTTCAAAACTCTACAAATTGAATTTATATATTAACCTCAAATTTCTATTTTTAGTTATTTTTTGTAAGTACTTTCAACTGTACTAACTAATCAGGAAAACACGACCAAGCCTCTAAGTTTCCCATAGAGTGGTGTTTTCATTTCGAATTATCATCCACAATGACAATTGGCTGCCCAAAAAGGGCTCCCTTTAGGCCTGACAGCTGTCACTGGTTACCTCTACCTCTACCTGAACCTCAACCTGAACCCCCAAAAAACACACAATCTCCACTGGCTACCTTTCAGACCTCAGCCCTCAGACCTCAGCTTATATTCTTTTGTCCGAATTGTCAGTTTATATATTCCCCCATTTCCTTCTCCCCATGCGGCTAATTGAGTTATATCCCACTGCAGTCGATTGCAGCAGGTCCCCCCCTTGACAAACAAAAAATAAATAAATCGGAATAATAAAAGAAAAAACGAAAAAGGAGAAGAAACCTATTTTAAATCGCCAGAAGAGAAGAGACTCCACAATTCAATAAATGAAATCGGGAGACCTTTCCCAGACAGGTTTTTATTTGTTTTTATACCCTTGCAGAGGGTATTATAATTTTGTCCAAAAGTGTGCAACGCAGTGAAGGAGACATCTCCGACCCTATAAAGTATATATATTCTTGATCAGGATCACCTCCTGAGTTGATATGAGCATGTCCGTCTGTCCGTCTGTCTGTCTGTCTGTCCGTTTCTACGCGAACTAGTCTCTCAGTTTTGAAGCTATCGTCTTGAAACTTTGCACACACCCTTCTTTCTTTTGCACGCAGTATATAAGTCGGAACGGCCCGGATCGGCCGACTATATCCTATAGCTGCCATATAACTGATTGATCGGAAATGGTATAACTTTGACGTTTTTAAAGTTAGAGAGTTCAAATTTGACATGAGAGCATTTTTTGGCAAAACATTACGACATGCCAAATTTCATAAGGATCGGCCGACTATATCCTATAGCTGCCATATAACTGAACGATCGGAAATTACCCAACTTTTGTGTTTTTGAAGATAGAAGTTTGGGATATTTTTAGGTTTGGTTTTTGTATTATATTAAATTGGGTTATATTATCATATTTTCATAAGGATCGGCCAACTATATCCGATGTTTGCGATATATATCCGGTTTTAACTGCAAGGGTATATAAACTTCGGCTCCGCCCGAAGTTAGCTTTCCTTTCTTGTTTTTTTTTGAAACTGCACTGAAAACGTGTTAGAAAAGAGCAATAATACACAGAGAGAAATATTTAAAAAAGACATTTTAAACCCCCCAAAACTAATAAAATAGTTAAAGAGACTTATTTAGTCTTGTTCTAAAAAAAAAAATTATTATATAATATAGTTTAGTCTAGTCTGGATTATAGTTTCTTCTAGTTACTTAACATACTCAAGATACAAAAAAAAAACTCACTTTCGAAATACACTTTGCAGATACTTTGCTTTTCAAAGCCCACTCCCAAGATTTTCTTTCTTTTTTTTTTTTTGGACTTGGCTTTTTCCATTTTGATTGCCTTTGTGGTCTCGACCGTTACACGGGTGGGTGTTATATCTCAGTATCTCATGTATCTTTGTATCTTTGTATCCATCCGAGTGCGGTCACAATACAATAAAAAAAAAAAAAAAACTAGAAACAACAACCACCTGGCGACACCTTCACCTTCCTCTAACTAAATCCGATTATAACTAATTATTATGGACTCTCCGACCGAACCCGAGACGATGGCAAATAGATAAAATAAAGGCTAAGAGGGCAACCCACCAGGGTTGTCGTGTAGCCAAGGGCTTGGCGTGGGCCATTCTTTGAGGCTTGAGGTTGAGATTTCTAATCAAATTTTTAATCTTTTTTTTTTTTGAAAATATTTTTAAAAACTTACCTTAAAAACCCTTTTATTAGAAAGTGAGCTGTAGCTTCTCCTCTTCGAGTGTCTTTTTCTGATTTTCCCTCTTGGCCCTTAGATCTGAAAAAAAAAAATAAAAAATGTAAAAATAAAGCCAGACAAGTCAGGATTATTAATTGAATTCTATGTTCCTGTGATGTTCCATTTGTTTATTATTTTGTCGTAGTTGCCTTTGGGTTATGTACTATATGTATTAATTGTTTTCGCTAATGCTTCTTGTGTTTTCAATACCCTAACCCAAAGGGGTATATATCTTTAAGTAAGGATTTTGAAAGATATATATAGTGTTCTTGTGAAATATTTAAGATTTTGGAGAATACTTTTTCTCCTAGTATTATTTAGTATTTACTAGTCTTGTAGGGTATCTAATATTCGTTTTATTTCTTTTATTTATTTTATTATTATTATTATTCTCCTTTTTGTTTACCGGCTCTGGCTCTGGTTCTGGCCATGTTCGTCTTCATCTTGGTAATAAACACGCACAGGCCGTGTTCGCCGGAGACGGGCTTCCGCATTCATTGCTCTTTTTATAGGGCACAAAATGTTTATTAGACATTATGTGCCCGCAGACCCCCCCTTTTTTTTTGAGAGAGAGAGAGAGCCTGATATCCTGGCGAACAGGGAAACTTACAAGTAATCACGCATATTTCGCATAAAAACTCAACCATCGACATTTTTATGCAAGTTCCTTTATGAAGGAGCTACTAGTCCTTTTTCTAGTTCATTTCCTATTATGATCTAATTTTTTTCGCTTTTTTCTTTTTTTTTTTGGTAATTGTTGCAATGAAAATTTATTAAACATAAATATTTCAAGGGTCCAGTAATTTATTAATGATTGAAGTTTTGAAGAAAGTTTGGAAAAAGGGAAACTGATGGAGAGGGGTTTAGAGGGAGGTTATGATAAATGTAGGGATGTGTGGTATGGGTAATAAAGTTTATATATTTATTTAGAGATATTAAAAATATTTAATATGATATAGAGATATATGTTTCTGAAGTAAAGGAAAAAAAAAGTGCCCTATTAGTGCTGGTAAAACACACAGGTTCTTCTAACATTAAAATAATATAATAAAAGAAGAGAATCGCAGAAGCCCTTCATGGTGGATTTTGTGCATCCATAACCACAGCAAGTGAAGAAGTCTTGGATTTGGAAAAAGATAAATTATAAAAAAAAGTATAATATTAAAATAAAAATACTTAAAGTGGCAGGACAAGAGTAAGACCTTTCTAGATCACAAAAAAAAAACACAAATCAAACAAAGAATATTGTAGAGAATATATTATAGAATATATATAGAATAATATATTAAATGATAGAGAGGATATTATAGAGAATTATAGAATATTATTAAAAGAATATTATATTTCATTATAGAGAGTATATCTTAAGAATAATATTATTTTTAATTGAATAGACAAAACTCTTTCTAAAAACAAACTCCAATAACCTTAAAAACAAATCTTGTTATTTTTGTCGATTAAATTAATTTCCCGATTGAAAGCCTATTAGTTTAGATCAGAAATTGTTTCTCTAATGGCCTTGTCTGAGAAATCATATATATATGTTTTTATTCAGCCGAACATGGCATGCAAAGTGAAGCCAAAAAACAAATTGAAAAATTGATGCCTGCATTAGAGGGAATAGGAGGTTAGTTGTCCTAGCCCCCCTCTCAAAAGGGAGGGTTGTAAATGTAACCGCAGTTGGTTTGTATTGGGGTACACACCCTCCCCCCCTATATTTTTTTATAGCCAGCTAGGCTCCCCCCCCCCGAATGCAGTTTTTGATAAAGCGGCGGACATGATTCATGTAAGGTTCTGGGTTGGCTATGCTCTCGATTATATCCTTGCATGCCTAAGGTCCTGCACAACGAGAGAGGGGTGGTGGAGGGGGAGAGGAGGTCTAGGTAGATATACAAATACACAGACAAGACATGCAACACACACACAAAATACAAATAAAATACACGGAAAAGGTACAAAACGTGTGTGGCACGAAAGCCGAATCAGGCGATTGTCTCTGCTTTTTTTTTTTTTTATTTATTCCTTTTTTGGTTAAGGAGTGAGGGGTTTGTGGGGGTGGATAGGTGGTGGATAGGTGGTGCTTTTTCTTTTTTTTTTTTTTGTTGAACGCACTCTTCAGGACAATAACAGGACAGCTGGAACGGAGCTCTGAATGTGGCAACAAGCGTTAAGTGGTTGCCTGTTTGTCGCTCGTGTACTTGGAAATGTTTTACAAATTCAGCAGCAGCGTGGATATAAAAAAAAAAGAATTGAAAATACAAAAAAAAGGGGGGGCTATACTATGGTAAGCCACCCCCCTGGGCGTTTGTCATGTCAGCTGTTTTCCTCGAAAGTCAGCTGCTAATTTAATGACGACGAAAAAAAAAAGAAATAGAAAGAAATCCACAGCGGGGGTGTCCCTGTCAGATGGATGGATGACTCATAGCTTAGAAGGGGGTGGCAGGATAACAAAATCGAAACTTAAACTAGAACAGCCTGCTGAGCAGACGAGGGGGAGGAGGAGGAGTATGCTTTGATATCCAAAATACCCAAAAAAAAAAGTAAGGGTGGTTGCATAATGAGTCATAGGCCAGATGAATTATTTATTAGAGAAGCTCAGTCCAAGCTCAGGGACTACAAAATTTATGTTTTAGTGTCAAGTAGAGGTGTACTTAAAGAAGGGCTTAACTATAAATATTAATTTTTTTTTTTTTTAGGATTCAACCATCAAGAACCTTAAACATTCTCCCATATCTAGCCACCACACAAACCACAAATATTCCATATGGCCTATGAGACTTTATCTAAATGCCATTTTATTTCAGACTCTCAGGGTTCTTAACTTGTTCTTGTTCCTGTTTATCTAGCAGATACATCTCTCTTCTCCCCCCGACCCATCCTCAAAGTGGGGGAAAATTCTGCGGTCAGAAAAGTTGTCAGTTGATAAAAATGCCAGAGCCCAGAGCCCAGAGCCCAGAGCCCTGAGACCAGAGCCTGAGCCAAAGTCAACGATAGCCCGAAATCCACTTTGGCTAAATGTAAATATTAAATTTGCGCATAAAAATAATACGAGAGCAGGATACCGACTACTGTTGAAACTAAAGTGAATCCACAAAGGTCCTGGCAAAAAAAAGGCAAGACATGAGCTCGTCGAGCCATAAAAAGCTGACTGCGGCAGGACCATGAAGTGCTAGTCAAGGTCCCGGACTCGAATTCGCAATTGACGCGCCACGTTCCTGAAACTCTAAGATACATATACCCAGCCAAAGATACAGATAGAAAAGGAAGCTGTAGCTGGGAAGAGAGTGAGGGAACTCCATAATAATTTTATGCGCTTCCAAAAAACTTCCGTTCAGTCATTGCGTTGTGTTTCCGCCCAAAAAAAAATAAAAAGTTACTTTACTTTTAGAGACAAGATCGTGATTAAGTCAGAAAGAAGTGTCAGAGGGGTATATGTCAGAAAGTTTATTATTTAAATTATGAATAAATGATAGGAATATCATTTATTTTGGAATTAAATTTGAGAGTAAAATGGCTTGAATTTAATTCAAAAACTTAAAAAAGAGTCTAAGAATCAAGAGCTTACAACACGCTCTCATCTCTAAACGGTTTCTCCTCCTATTTTTTTTTATTTTCTAAGCTGTCCCTCGTCTTGGCCAAATTGCCATAGAAATTTTGTAGGCTCTATTTTTTTTAAAGATTTTTTTTTATTTTTTTTCTTGCAAGTGGCAAGATTTTCCTTTATGGTTCCTGTGTTTGCTGGGCTGCCTTGGCTTGATTTTTCGACTTCCGCGGGTGGTATGGGTGTCTGAATGAATGAATGAATGAACCACCCAACCAGCCAGCCAAGGGGTGAGTGGGTGAGTGAATGAATGAATGAATGAATGAATGAATGTTCAACTGTCACTTCCGTCAGACGGGCCAAACGGAGTTTGGGGAAACCCACACACATTGGGTGGGTGGATAGATGGTTGGGTGGCTTAGCGACAACGCGTCAACATTGTTGCTCTGCAAAAAAAAAAGGGGAGAAAATCACTAGAAGGGAGCCTCGCTCCCCTGCCTCGGAAAAGCGTTTGGAAAAGCGAGGGCCAAACGAGTAATGACATATTCAAACGCAGCGCGAACTTGACGACGCCCCAAAGGAGTGAAGATGTTACACACCAGAAAAAAAAAAACAGAAAAAATAAGGGGGGAAAGCTGCTGAACAGAAGAAGAAGCGTTGCCAGACATTTCTGACAAAGCTGGCGACAAGGACGTACACTTGTAATAACACGAAAAGGATATTGTAAAACATTTTCATAAGTTCTCCCAATTTCCAAGCTCGTTTTTGCTTTTTTTCTTGTGTCCTTTAGAGCTAAAAAGTATGCAGCTTGTGTTCAATTGCTGATGAAAGAAATTGGGTTTTTTTCTTTATTATGGGAGAAAGAAAGAAAGAAAGTGTTTAAGATATTTTAGAGAAGGAACTATATAGGTCTTTAGTTGGGTTTATGATATAAAGGGATTTTAGAAATTTATTTTAGAGATTTATTAAGAAAATTAATTGAATTTTGGAAGAAATCTTAAGATTTTGATAAGAGGTAAGGGCTTAGATGGATAAGGCTTAGGAACTCTATTCAGAAGCTCAGCTAATATCATACTCATATACTCATCATCATATATGATATAATATTATACTATATTACAAGACCTACGATGGTATACAATGCATATTATATTATATCTTAAGCCTAAAGAACGTATGGAATTAAAGATATTTTATACCATATGTTATCATTTTGTACAATATTATACTATAATCTTTATAAGATTATATAAGATTTCTTCTAATATTATACTATAATCTCTAAGATATAATATTATTTTTCCAGTTCTTTGTGGGCTATTTAGGGTTCAGACTTATAGGAATTTGTTATCATCACAAGATAAAACATAATATTATATCATAAGCCTTGAGGTACTGTAATAGATGATATATATTATATCAGAATAATTATATCATATAATATTATATCCTAATCCTTAAGAAACTCTGAAAA